GAGCAAACCTGGTACAAGTTGTACCGTACAACAAAAGGAACCCATAAATCGAACAATCGGTGCATACCGCAACATAAACAAAGGTTGTTAAGGAAAAACCATAATAATAATAATAATTGCAATTTAAATTGACAGACTTGTAGGAATCCAAGCCTCGGCAAATAAACGAGCCACGAATCGTGGCCCTTAGATTAATAAGTTATTAATAATAACCTCTAAATCCCACAATAAAATTTAGCTTTTTTACCGGAATTCTTTGTTGGATTGTTCCATCAGGACCGTCACGGAATTTGTGGCCCTCTACTAAGCAGTGCCTGTTTTGCAAGGCCAAAGTCGCTGAACCAACAAATTACTCATTTGGAAGAGGGAACTAATAGGTCAATTCTGGGTTCTCTCGTAAAATTTCTGTAAATTCGTAAATCTATAGCTTACGATGATCTGTAACTATAATGCTTATAGAATCGTAAAAGTGGCAATTCTGGGATGTTATCTGTAAATGTCCAATTTAAAGTAGTATAAACGAACTACTGCAACTTCACGCCGATTTACTTACGATCAGACATAACCTATATTTTTATATGGATTATTTGGTTTATCCACAGTTTATCGGTTTTCATTTATGTATCAGCATATAATATAATACAAAAAGTAAGAAATTTAAACTGCTTGATGAATAAAATGAGGTAAGATAATTTTACATTTAAAAGAACATATAACATATAATGAATAAAATTGTTAGTGCGTTGAGTAAAGAAGTCAATCAATGGTTAGTGGTAACGCAAAAGCAACAAAGAGAAAAAGATAAAAAACACCACTCCTCAACAGTTGAACTATATTTGGATGCAATGGATGGAGATTATCCATTGGGCCAACCATGGTAGGATAAATTTGAACAAGGAGCAGAAAATCAAAAAAAAAAACATTTTGAGCTTATTAAAAACTATTTAGAAAATTATATAAAGCTGAAAGAAGAACAATTAGGATTTGAAATGAAAAAAATTAAAATTTTAAATCCAAATTTTGATATTTGACCTATTACCTAATTTTTGACTAATTAGAATATTTATTTATTTTGTTGTTTAATTCTTTTTTTACCGAGTAGGCTGTGGTTTATTTTTTTAAGAATATTTTATTTTATTTTCATATGTAAAATAAAAATATAAAGTTTTTGTATTGATACAATTATTGTTTTATTTAGTCAAAATTGAACTTATTTCTAATGTAGTTAGCCCAGGCTGCTTGTCCCAATTGATAAATATTACCATTATCATATCCACATTGACATTATTAAAAATATTCATGTTTTTAATCTTTAAAATAGCTTTACATAACCTAACAAAAACAAACTGTAACTAGCAACGATTGGGAAACACCCGATCGTAAATATTTACGATTCTATAAGATTTTCTGTAAGCTACAGGAAGCGCAGAATTGCAAATTGTCTATAAGCTTATAGAAAGTTACAGATTTGCTTATAGATGCTTACAGATGTGCGCAGAATTGACCTATAAGCTCAGCTCAATGAGATGTTTCAATATTGAATACCTAGTGACTATTCAGTGAATAGTGATATCCATTGGATGTACATGTTCCGTGAGGGGTTGCAATCAGGCTGGTTAAAATAAAATGTATCTTATATCTAAGGATCTATAGATCCTAAAGTAGATCCTGATTTTATTAAGTATCTCGAAAAATAATTATAATACCCAATGGTTGTTAAATTTAAATGAGTAAGTAAGTAGGTGCATTTTTAATTTTACAAATTTTAGAACTCTTATTACAGACAATTTGTCTTTTAAAATACCGCCAAAGAATTTAGTAGATAGGTTTATTTGATAAGGTCACAATGGATTGTGGATAAGGTCAAAATTGGGCCATTTGCGAATAATAGAAATTAATTTGGTAACGAACACCTGGTTTTACTTGTTATAGAGGACAATCTATCAAAAAAATCAAGTAAACTTATTTGTAAATATATATTTTATTTATATTTATTTATTAACCAATAACCAATTTTTAAAATAAAATGTTTATGTTTTAATTATAGAGGTCTTTATTACAACCCATTGCTTTTTATTTTTTTTGTAAATTTATGAATGTTTTAGTATTACTTTTCACGAAAATATATTAATTAATGTAATAATTATACTTAAGTAAACTATTTATTATGAAGGATTAAATGATGTTTGTTTATATTTCTTGGGTTGGATATTCCACGATAATCGAAAATTTTTATCACGACCGTCAGAAATTGTATTGACATAAGGAATAACAATTTCTGATTATCGTGGAATAATCTTATCTAATAAATATATACCTACCACATTTAATCCACCATAATAGATACTTCACTTACATATCCATTAAAAATTATTTAAATAACCACTATAGAATCTTTAACACTCCATATCAGAAACTTTAGCTTGCCACATTTGTACCTTTAATCTGCCATATCGAACCTTTAGCGCGCAATATCAAAAAATGGAATGGTTCTTGTAAGTGCCCATTAAAGGTGAACGCGACATAATATGTACATTTCCATTGCTGCATTGGTTTCAATGTATTTCAACTTAGGTCTCTCACGTAAGCTTTATAGGGCCTTAAGTTCATTAAAGGCACGTTTATAAAGGGCCATTATAGAACTTTTCCGTTTGGGTTTGCTGATCATTAATGATCTAAAATAAAATTTAATATCATTTTTAGTTTTCAGGATATCGGTCGATCGATCGATACGATACGATTGTAAAAAAAATTATTTCAAAAACTGTTGAAGGTAGCCTTTTCCAATTCAGACATTATTAAAGAACATTTTTAAGGAAAATTTAAATCTGCAAAAATCTTTTTGTTTGCTGCCCAGATAATATAATCGAGATACCCATGCTTATAAGCATATAACCTCGAGGAACGGACATGTACCTATCAGTGGCGGCTCGTCAGGGTAGGCCTCTGAGGCCGCGCCTCACCCTTAAAATAAAGGAACGAACGACTTTTTGTATTTATATTTTTGCCTATTACAAGTGTATTTTTACAACAGTTCTACCCAATAAAAAGTAAAAAACCAATCAATCATATTAAGCGTAAATAAAAATCCAGGCGCAAAGCGCGTCAAGTTAACGTGCATCGTTGAGTCGCTTGGACAGAGGCAAAATTTTCACAGCCTCGGAAGCTCCCATTTACCTCTTGAAAGCGAAAATGACTCACCAACAAAAATATCGCCGTAAGTTCGCGAATAAACACCGTAGATGAGGCGAAATTTAGTTGGCTTGGTTTGTTCTGATTGGTGGTCCGTTTATGGTGGGATGCCAGCGGAGACAAAGAAGGTTCTATGCACAATCCACACAACAAGGTCTGTTCGATCTTCTTAAAATACGAACGAAAATTGGTACTGTTATGCGCACATACGGCTACCGCCATATTTGATTTATTTGCCGCCGTTAATTTAAATTACCCAAAATACCTAGTAATTCTGTCTAACAGGCATGCAAGAAGTAAACAAAGTTTTTTTTTAAGTTTTAAAGAAACTGGAAATGTTTTTTAATATTATAAGATTTGTAAAATGTGAAATCACTATTTCTGCCATTATTCTTGCAAGTTTTTACCATACAGCATGCTACTAAATAAATAAATTTATATATAAATAGGAGAAACATTTTACCATAGTTTTACTTACTGGTTAAACAATATTTTTTGCAACATATACACAAGTACACTGGTACAGTCAACAAAATCCACAATAATCCAATAAAATAACAGAAGCACACTAACAAAAGAAGAATTTTTAAACACTAACCAAAGTACTTTACACTATAATCCACAATAATAAAGAACAAAACCAAACAACTATTACAAATCCGCATAAAACAACACAATAATTGCAAACAATGAAATTGTAAACAATAAAAATGGCGACTAACGTTTGAATGTATACTAGGTTGCATAATTTTGTGATTTTTAACATGCGCGAATAAAGATCGAACAGACCTTGTTGTGTGGATTTAATTATTGTAGGGAACATAGAAAATTTAGAATTACTTTTAAATCTCACTGCAGACCCACAATTTTACGACCAAATTTGGTTATTAATAATAGATAAATTTTCAATCTTAAAAGACGCGTCTAGTCTTTTATATTTTTTAATACTTAGGTCGGGGTCGACTTTTTAGTTTTATTTTTATTTTTTGATTAATTTATTTATTTTTAACTTTTTTAAGACTATATTTTAAGTTTAAGATTAAAACTAGTCTTTGATGTGATATTTTGTTTGTTTTGTTTTTTAGAGTTTATTTTTTGGTTTAGTAGTGCTATCGGCTCCATTTTAAAAAAGGTCAACGCGTCGCAGAATAATACCTCCCGGGTGACGTGGAAATTTATTCGTATTTAGACAAAATTAACATTATGTAGCCTCACCCTTCTGTACACCCACGAGCCGCCACTGGTACCTATACGTATAATATAATAATATAATATAATATAATATAATATAATAGTACTATTTATAAAAGCCTAAATAGGTATCTCATATCTATAAACGGTTGTTATAGAAACAACATAAACAATGCATCTGCAGCGAGCTGTTTTTAACATGGTTAATGTTTTTCGGCCAGTTTTTGTCCTAAAATCAAAACCAATATAATAATATAATTGAAGGGACAGGTGAATGAAGGGGTTTTATCTTAAAAGTAAGTAAAAAAATTAATAAGAAAGGACAACAAATATTCTAATTTTAATTAATTTAATTAATATGGTATTGAAATTAAAATAACAATATTTTTTGTTTGAATTCAAATGCAACATGATACCATAAGGTGGTGACATGATATTTTGGCTTTATTTCTGTACGGAGTTTATTAATAATTTGACTTTTGAACTTGTATTAATATGAAGTTTTTCAATATAGTCTTATGACCTAATAATATAAAAATTATTGTACACTTAAAAAAAATATAATAATTAACAAAATTAATTTTAATCTCCCATTGTGCAATTTTAATTAACATTGTAATCACACCTCGTAACTATCATTGCCCTCGTAAATAAATCTAGGGAAATTTCACACTGAATCATTGGCAATCCTGAAAATAAAGCATAACCTCACAACCGGAACCCTCAAAGTAAGTCACATTTGTATTTATAAATAAAAAGGATAATTTATAACTAACTAATAGAAATCCTTTAAAAATCTAACCTCAAGCATTTCAGTTTGTTTATCAATTATTGATCAACAATTAGGACTACAATGGACGGCGAGGGTGATAGCGAAAAAAGAAAACGAATGTCTTGCGGAATATACATAAGTTGTCCACCGCAGATAAAGAGTGCTTTGGAAACGTGTTTTCAATGCGGATACCATTTTGTAGTAACACAGCTAACACATCCAAACTATGCTAGAGAACTGTTAGAGAATCCACCACCTGCCATCGGCAGAACAGACAGAATACTTAAAGGCAGTGAATGGAGTAGATTAGTAGTAGGTTAGTATCTATTAATATCTTATTTTTTACTCCCATACTTTAATTCGTTTATTACCTGTAATGAGATCCATTACGATACAGATTTTTAACCAATAGAAATGCATACAGAAATATTAACCAATGAAAAATACACAGCAATATTCTGTCAATATCAACTATTGCCTTGGACATCTGAGTTTTAATATTTATCAATTTTTAAGTTCAGTGTTTACCTTAAAAAAAAATTGATGTTAAAATTAGTAAATATGTGCAATAGTGAAAATTGAAAATTTAACCCCGCCAGATATTGTAACAGGCCGCAAAAGTCGCATAGAAGTTATTACCCGTAAAATCAGCAAAAAGGTACAAACTATTTTAGAATTTAGTGTTAATTTTTCACTATTATGATAGTCGTAGAATAACTAATGTATGCAACTCGCATTTAATGAGCTATTAAGACTCTTGCACTTATTATGACATTTGCATTTGGTTCATGTCATAATTTTCATGATCATGTCTTAATATACTATTTAACTTTTATCTAATAAGGGTTAATAAATAAAAAACAAAATTCTTATAATTTAGCTTTTAATTGGTAAAAGGTTTTTTTAAGTTTTAGGTCTGTTTTTATTTTGCTGATATAAATATTGCTATACTGCTGTACCATTTGAAAATATTTATGTCTACATACAATACATGTATTATTTGTCTGTAAAGCCTTTACTAAAGGTCTTAATTTAAATCAAAAATATTTGTAGTATTTTTTAGAAAAAAGACGAAATTAACTTCAAAATGACAGATAGATAACCTCAATTATATGTATTAAAAAATAGTATATATACCATGGAGCCCGAACTTCATGTAAACAAGAATCTTACCAAGATAAGAGGGCGCTGGTGTACTACCGTACCAAAACAGTAGAGGTGTATAACCAGGCATGGCGTCACTACCTACCACTTATTATTGTGCAAATAATTGAGGTTATACAACTGTCATTTTATTGCTTTCTGAAAACAATGTACCCATGTACCTGGTTTTGTGTATGAAGGTCTTAATTTACAATAAATTTATATCAAATTTAACATTGGAATTCATGTTGGACTTTCTGATGTAGAGCATAGTACAGTTTTTTATAAATACATGTTTTTTTCTATAAAAGAATGTCGTGTGGTGTTAAAGCGTGTAAAACTAACAGAATATTAAATCCATATGGTATTTATTTTTAGTTTTATAGGTAGATGGCTTAAATAAAAGTTCAATATAAACAAATAAAGGTGAAAATTATTAAATATGCTGTTTACTCATTTTATACATACTTTTTTATTTAAATTAAATTTAAATTATTAAATAGCGGTGTATTTCTAACCTGGAAATCTAATTTTGCTTCTCCAGAGTCGTAAAATCACTTCACAGATTATAAAGAACCACTTATATTTCACAACCAAAACCTATTCATTAGCATCTACCAGGTACAGCCATAAATAACAAAACGATTCGTACGTCAAAACATTATTGCAAATCAATTGTCAAAACTTACTTGCTTACTTCACATGTATTTTCGATACTACTTTCACATCATACATACGCATCGACAATCAGCGTCGCTGGTGGTGAAAAAAAAAAGACTTAATTTGTGCAATTTAGTGGACAGGTTTTGTCAATTTTCCCTATTAAGTTCGGGCTCCTTGTGTAGGCTCCATGATATATACCTTGGAGGCGAAAGTTTATTAATTGCTCGGCGATAATATGTGCTTTCTCTGCCTAGTCTATAATGTACTAATTTTGATACTAATAATATTCCCACAATTAAAAAAATATTTTAATTAATATCCTTCACTCAATGGCTTATGGTAATATCTCCATTTGAATATTTTCCATAAATGTCTTTAAAATTTAATATTTAATTTTATATACAATTATATACAATTTTATATACAATTATATACATACAATTACAAATAATTTTAGATTTTTTTATAGCACAGATTTGAAGAAAATGATTTTTAAAGTTGCATTTGTTTTCATACTCCATTTTTTTATTTTATAAAAAATATACTAAAAAATCAATTTTTAAGCTATCAACATGTTCCTATTTTGTTTCTTTAGTTTGGAAATTGTTGTAATAATCTATGGGAAATCTGTGGGAAAAACACTTCTGCAATGGTTTTTCCATAGATTCTTTAAAAAAATTCGTTTGTAATCTCAAGCATCAAAAGAGGATCATGTTAATGGCTTAAAAATGGATTATTACAGTATATTTTTATGGAAATCTTAAAAAACATTGTTGTTGCCCTTTTTAACATTCAGGCCAATTCACTAACAGAAGTGGTTAACGTTAGCCACTAGATTCTAGTGGCTAACGTTAACCACTTCTGTTAGTGAATTGGCCTGAATGTCATTTTAAAGTTTGTGCTGCCAACTTAAGAAACACAAAAATATGACAGTTTTAAACTTTAATTTTGCCATTATAACAACAAATCAACAATTTATATTGTTACTAATTTACTGTTGTTGTTTTTAGTTTTTAATGATACTTTAATTTGTAATGAAGTATTAATTTGTTAATTAAAATACAACGATTTATTTTTAATACATTTACACCGCTGAATTTGCTGTCACAGTTTACTGTTATTTATTGTTAAACTCTTTAAATGGAGATACTACCTAAATATATATTTTTTCTACACCCACCTTTAAAACGCCCTTTATCGTACATGTTTCCATGACATGTGACTAAGTGACCTTTTAAATACACATTGACAAGTTGTGGCTTTATGGCAACAGGTTTTTAGTCACGGGCTGAAGTTAGTTGACAGTTGTCAAATGTCATAAAATCGTTAAAAGAAATTGCCTTTTTTGTAAAATAATACCAAATGTGAAAATTATTTTATTATCTCAATACAAAAATACAAAAGTATTAAATAGTTTCTCAACACCAATATTTGAAAAGTTTATATGAACATTGTACTGACCTTTTAATTTCGCCGGCAGTAAACTATAACTTAAATTCGGGCACGGACTCCACTGTAAAGTGCTCATAAAACATTTTCTTTACTTTCACTGTGAAAAACTGTTAATTTTCAAGAAATACATTTCGATTTATAACCTTTATAATTGTGTTTATAAAATACAAAAATTTGACATTTGACGGTGACACACAGATTCCCCTATTGTTTCATAGATGGCGCTCTATACAAATTTTTGATTTAAATCATTTTAAGATAATAATAAGTATTTGTCGTAGAAAAAGTATAGTATGCCACTCGTTTATAAACCTTTCTAGACACTCATATAATTAAGCACTCGCTCGCAAGCTCGATCCTGCCTAAATTAAATTCGTGACTAAAACGGTGTTTATCAAACTTGATACATAATATAAATTTTACTTATTTAGAAAAAGGGTTCAAATTATCTAAAAACACAAGTTGATATTTTGTAGGTATTTCATTTAAAAAAAGGAATTAAAAGAAAAAAATGGGTTTATGCAATTTAATATAGTTTTTATTAAAAACTTTTTAACTTTAAATTCTACATTCCTTATACAGGATGTCCCGAAAATGGCGTTAGAGGGGGATATATGTTTAAAAAACTGAACACTGCAGAAAAATAAACAATGCATACGCAGGTTCTTATAGTTAACATGGTAAATCATCATATATTATAACTTTGTTTTTACTAGTAAATTTTAACCTTTAAAAAGTTTTTAGAAAAGAGTTTAAAGTAAAATGAGAAAATCGCCTTAAGAATGAAAATTATTAATTTTTATACAATCTACATTTTGAACTAAGTAATGATACTTTTTAATCAGGCCATATGAGCCACAATTAACTTATTTTCGAGATAAAATTTTTTTCAAAATTACATTCTTTTATAAAAATCTATAAAAACCCGAAAAACTATTTTCTAGTTCCCCCATATCTTTGACTACTCATGTTCCAATCTTACACAAACATATTGTTTAAGGTGAGCTAAACAAAACAATTGACGTGGACAGCGAAGTGGAGCACATCAGAGAACAAAGTAAGGCTTTGTTACTGCAAGAATTGGGTTTGGCCTCGCACTTAAGCATCCCTGCAGTATTACTAACACTGGAAAACCCGGTCAACACCCAACTAGCAAGAATTATCTATGATAAAATTCTGTCCGGTTATGATTATGGTATATGGGTGACCGTACCAATGGTACACCCATCAAGGTTCTGCCCCCTCGCGGACGAAAAGCACGAATCGTGGCAATGGTGGGACGATTTTCGAACTTACTGCCACTACGACAACAGGATAGGTGTGGTTCTCGAAATGCCTGACATTAATCATATGCCAACTACAGCCGAAGTGGACAGATGGATCGGTGAGCCTGTTAAGGCATTGGTTGTGCCTGCCTCTCTCTTTTTGTTGAACCAGTACAACAAACCGGTACTTCCCAAAGCTCACCAGGAGCTAATCAAGAGATTTATGACCATTGATGTTCAGTACATCATTAAAAGTGATACTGAGATGGATATCACGCATTATCAGGGGTATTTGAACTTTTTGGGGAAGAAGTTGTACACTAATGACACTACTTCTGAGTTTGTTCAAGGGTAGGTACATATAACGATGTTAAATACTAAAACTTGAAGTAAAATGAAATGAACTAGTCTAATCATTTAACAGACTATGCATGTGATTGATTGTAATTTATATTCACTCCGTCAGTTAAATGAATAGTAGGGTGTTTAAAAAAAATGCGAATTGGTTTTTTTCTTGCAAACAGGCTCAAAAGTTTCGTTTAGGTATAAAAATGAGCCTGTGAAAATATGAGCTCCTAATTTTAATACCTTAATGCTCCGTATGCACTTTTCAGTTTTCCATAAGAAGAATTTTGTAACTCACCAACCAAAGGTCATACAGAAAATGTCTTTAAATATTTTTGTAGAAAATTAAACGCTCTAAAAAAAATTCCTATTATTTTTTGCTAAACCAATTGGTTAAAAAGTTATTAAAGATCAAAATTCAACTCGGCATCAATTTTGACGATTTTTCGGTATTGCATCGGAAATACTCAAGTTTTATCCAAAAATTGGGCACGAAATTTCATGCGGAACATATATTTGACATTAAAAGTGTCGTTAACCAATATTTTTTTCATCTACAAATGTAAACAGAACACTACCTACTAAAATAATATTATAATGTTTTTATCAATTTCATCTTTATTATGAAAACATATTTAACTTTGCTTCCTGAAATTATAGTATTTCACAACTCGATATGCCACCAATTGATTTTGAATATACATAAGATAAGCAATTTTTTTATTATTTTACAGATAAAAATATTTGTTTTAACACTCAGCCACAGAATACACACCCACACAGAAGCGAATGCTAAGCTTCCCGCCAAAACCAACTTTTAATACGCTTGCGCGTGGCAGCCATGTTTTAAGTAGTATTATTGTCAAGTTGACAATGTCAACCTCACTTTTATGTTGATTCTCTTTACCAATTTACTGCAGTGTTCGGTTACCTATAGGATATTTTGAGTGTTAGATAATAGGATATTTTGTTGTTTTTTATTCGTTTAAAGTTTAGCGATTTGTTGTTTTATTACCAGTGTTCGGCTATTTTGGATATTCTGTGCCGAAAATATGCCTATATTCTATATTCTATATTTTGTACAATTTATAGGTCCGGTTTATAATCAAGTTTTAGCGTAGCTGCTTTACCGATATTTTGACATATGTTGACGTCTGTCATGAAAATTTATGTTTATTTGGGTACAATAAAAATAATTAAAAACAATATTTAAATTATTATTTTTAGTTAAAAGGAAAGGTGGGTAAATTGGACGGTATTTGGTTTTTAAATTATTTAATACCATTTTCAGAAATATTTTTTATGAAGGAAAATTTTCTTTTGAACATTGTGTTACCAACTGAGTAATAAAAAAAATTGCTCAACTTAATCAATTAATAAAAAATTTTGTTGGCATATTCAGTTATTAAATACTGAAATTTCAGGCAGCAGCAAATTTGTTTTCATAATAAAAATGAAATAAAAATTCAAATATTTCGATATTATTTTAGTAAAGGGCCATTTCAGGCATGCGGACGGGACAAATAATAATAATATATGTTCCGCATGAAATTTCGTGCTAAATTTTTGATAAAACTAAGTAGTTCCGCTGAAATACCGAAAAATCAGCAAAGTTGATGGTGATCTACAGGGTGTTATGTAATTAATGTTATATATTAAAATGGGTTGTTCCTTAGGGTCCATAAAGAAGCACCTGAAACTTTTTTTTTCTAAATTCAAAAGTCTAAAAATAATTTATAATAACCTTTATCCTACCAAAAAGTACGCCACTGATCGACTAGGAACTTTAGGTTAATCTGGTGGATTTATTATGTTATGGTTGGTAACAACAGTGTTTCCAAAATCTCTCAAAAAAGTTGACAAACATTGTTTAGCTTAATTACAAAAATGACAAAATTAACAATGCAAATTGTCAATTTGGCGTTTTTATTAATTGTTGGTTATTTCATTTTTGTACTGAAGGTAAATTCAAACAAAATCTGCCAACTTTTATGACAGAATCTAGTGCATTTCTTTTAAATTTTAGGTTATGTTTTCAAATTGTAAATATCTTAACTAAGGAAAGTGCTTTTGGATTTATTTACACAAATTAAATGTTTAAAGTTTAACCTGTGAACTGGTCCCAATTTCATCTGAGTAAACAGAGAAAAAAACTGATGAAAAAATTAATTTTGTGGTTATGGATTTCAAATTTCAAAGGTACTAAATTTTCTAATCATTGCTTAAGCTAATAGCTGGATCAGTAAATAAATACAGAAGGTATTAGAGCTTTAAGGGCATAAAACTTTTGTATTTATTGAGTTTTTATTTATTTTTTGCAAGAAAAATTTTTAGTAACAATTTTTTACTGGCAACGCATAGCTACTTTGTTGGTTGGTATCTATGTACTCACAAAATACAGGTGTGCAGAGATAAACAAGTGTGTAACCAGTGCCACTGGTTACACACTTGTCCAGTGGTTACACACTGGTCCAGTGGCGTATCACAAAAAATATAAAAAACTTCTAATGCATATTTTTTCTTTATCTTTGGAAAAATGTTTTTTTAAATATTTTTCCTTTATTCCTTATGTCAAAAGGTATTCAGTATTTTAATATATAACATTAATTACAAACACCCTGTATAATAACTTTTTCACCAATTGGTTTAGCAAGAAACCTTTTTTGTAGAGCATTTAATTTTATACAAAAATATCTAAACACATTTCCTGTATGACCTTGGGATGGTGAGTTACAAAAATCAAAAGGCACAAAAAAAAATTCTCATGTTATTCTTATGGAAAATCGAAAAGTGTGATGCGGAGCATTAAGATATTAAAATTAAGAGCTCATATTTTCACAGGCTCATTTAAACACCCTAATGAATAGGCTTTACGAATTTTTAAATAAAATTTATTTTTCAGCTGTGAAGATTACCTCCAAAACCCTCTCCAACCCCTAACAGAACACCTAGAAGCCAACATATACGAGGTGTTCGAAAAAGACCAAGTAAAATATGACACCTATCAGAACGCCATCTATAAAGCCCTTGAAACGTGGCCCAAGGACAGCAAAGTGGACCCTGTTGTCATGGTGGTGGGGGCTGGAAGAGGTCCGCTAGTACAGGCAGTTTTAAATGTATCCTACACTTTACATAGGAAAGTTAAAGTTTATGCTGTCGAAAAAAATCCCTATGCTGTTAACACCTTGATGGACAGGAATAGAAACGAATGGAATAGTAAAGTTACTCTGGTTTACTGTGATATGAGAACGTATGAGCCCCCTGAGAAAGCTGATATATTGGTGTCAGAACTGCTTGGTGAGGAAAAAAATGTTTAAATTACTATTATATAGAGATGGGAATCGGAAAGTTTCCATTTTAAGAAAACTTTCCGTTTTGGAAAGTTTCCAATTGGGAATTTATTTTCATTTTGAAAGTTTCTTTTAAGCTACCGGAAACATTCCTTGGAAACATTCCTTGGAAACTTTCCTTGTTTTTTTCATTTAAATGTCAATTGTTTAACCGCTGATTTTCGTTAAAGCCATGATACAAGGCCAAGAAACTTTGAATAAGAATTTAATATGTGTTAATTTAAAGCAGAAGAAGAAGTATTAATAATGTAAGTTATGTTACATAACCTCAATGAAGCCGGATTATTCAGCATCATCACAAAAAACTTTTTAAAAAAAAGTTAGGTAAACAAAATAAAAACAATAAACAAGGTTAAAATTATTCTTACATTTTTGTTGTTTATTTATAGGCATAGCACAATGCCAAGAGAAAAATCTAGTGTTTGGAATTATTACAAAATAGTGCAAAAAAACAAAAATGTTATCAGTCAGGACTGCAATACTATTTTTAGTATCTTTTACTTTTCAATATTCCTATATATTAGTTACTTAATTTTTTTACGTAATATCTAGGATTTACTAGCAGTGAATTTCTAATAGTAAACATTTTATTTTTATTTTGTAGGTTTCAGTATACAATAGGAATATTCCAAAGTAAAAGATAATAAAAATAGTATTGCAGTTTCATTCTTATAAACATTTTTTTTATTTTTTTTTCTTAATAAAATTTGACAAAAAGTTAATGTGTTATATATTTTTGCAAATCCCTGGCGTAAAAAAAATATTTTCGCAATAAAAATTTTTTTTTTGAAACTTTCGGAAAATTTCGGGAATTTTCGATGGAAAGTTTCCGGGAATTTTCGTCAAATGGGAATTTTCCCATCTCTACTATTATAATTAAAATTTGTTAAAACTAGCAAAAAATGCTTCTTCCAGAACTAGTTGTTTTTTGAAGGTAGCTTTACAATTTAGGTCAAATCTCGAGTTAAAAAACCCATCTGGTTGCAAAAGGTTTCAAATTAAACATTATCGAATCGTCGACAAATATCACTATCTTAATACCCAATCAGTTGACTAGTTTGAGTGCTATGCGTTTAAATATTGAACTAAATCCCTTCCTGGACAAAAATAAGACCTTTTGTTCAAGAATGAATAAAAATAATTAACATATAACTAGGGATGCACCGGATTTGATTTTGGCCGGATTACCGGATGCAGTAATCCGGCGTCATCGGCCGGATTAACTCCGGCCGGATTTCGCCGGAGTCGGCCGGATCTTAGTGTTTTTACACAGGCAGGTGTAGTTTCTGTTTCAGTATTATGCAAATCTTGCACTTAGATACCAATTACGTGTTGATGTGGTATGTGGGGATCCTGTTTCCGAACAGGCAACCAACAATACATGTAAAGTAAATTAACATTTGTCTTTTAAAACAAGAAGATAAATTGACAGACCTTGCATTTTACGCATGCATTCTAGTCGTATTAAAAATAAATAAAAGTGTTTATATTTTAGGTACCTGCCCACCTTATAAGTAATCATTATTAGGTGGCGCATTGTCTTTTTTATTTTTACACCAGGTTTTTGTCATGTACCTACTTGTTATTTTGGCGCGTTAAAACTGATATAATATGTATATATATATACATATTATATTAGTTAAAAAGTAATATAATTATACATATGTATCTATACGTATTATATACGTATACGTATTATTATAGCTATTTTTGTAACATCGGCTGTTCTGGTTTTGGCTTCGCCTCGACCGCAAACAGCTACGATTCGTCCTAAAAAACATGATTTTTAGGTACATGTTGCAAACAACATTTTTTTGTTCTAGGTCCATATATTCATATTTTTAAATAGAGTAAATACCTATTTCTCGAAATTAAGGTTATTATCGAATTTTATTTTTAATTGTTGTATTGCAATGGTTCAAGAACCATGTTGCAAAAGTTTCCATAGCAATTTTTTCGTACTAGTACAAAAAAAAGAATTATTTTACGGACTCAAATGAGTTCGTTAAATAGCTATTTTAGGGGAAAAAACAAAAACATATATATTTATCAATAAATAAAAGTTTTTAAAACCAATAACATATTAAAAAGTATATCTTTATAAAACGTTTAAAAAAATAATAAATAGGTAACATAAAAATAAATAAATAATATTTATTAATATACCTAATCTAAAAGTTATAAGAATTAAAAAACATAGGTACAATAATTATAATAGGTATAATACAACCATCTGAAAACCACTGCGCATACGTACGGCGTCTGTTACTTAGTGCGCATAGATACGATCACCTGTTAACTGCGCATAGCCGATTTCGTCCCGAGAAAGGTGAACAACTCGAATTTTTGCACTATAACTTAAGGACTTCGTTATCTTATGTTCGCTTAAATCATGAAGTTTAATCCTTAATCTATTTTTAAATTATTTCTAAAAAAATTGTTTGTTACTTGTAAAAGAATATATATTTTTTTATAATAAACATTTGAAAAAATATTTTATTTTTAATTTAAAAAATCCGGCCACAATCCGGCCGTTGTTGCCGGATCAGTTTAAAAATTTGGCCGGAGCCGGATATGCTGCCGCATAGGCCGGATCGGCCGGAGGCAGTAGGTGAGCAGTAACTCCGGTGCATCCCTACATATAACCACCATATTCGAATTATCTCCATAGAGTTTCCGGTTAAAAAAAAATCCATGGATAAATGACAAAGTTATGACCAGTTTATGAACAAGTAGCAAAATTCAACGTAATGTTTGGACTTTTATCTTATTAGTAGCGTATACTGTAATATCATGCAATTAATTTACAATACATTTTAAGGAAACAAACTGATGTGCGAAATTAAAGCACCACTTTATTAAAGATCTATACAATTTAAATAAAATGGTCTAAAAAGTTCTACTTTGAATATTTTGTAGCCTAAAGTTTGCCCAAAAGGGTGTAGTAATTTTTTTTTTAATTCGAAATTTTTTCTTTACCTGATTAATGACAAAAAAAATAATTATTTTCTTAAAAAATAATAAATATTTTATTTACACTTGACTATTAGGTAATGTAATGTGTGTAATAAAAGCCATGTTTCAATAATTTTTCAATTAAAATAAAAAATGTTATTCCATAACTTGTACTTCTTCACTATCTTATAATCAAACTAAATTTTTCTTGTTACAATTGGGATATTTTTGCCGGTGGTTTTTAACTACTCGCAATAAGTATCAAATAAATGTATATATAGTTAATATATTTAATATATTAATTTACCCATTGACTTTATCAATAAGAATGTAGAATTTTGGAAACAGGATGAAACCTATCAAGAAAATCTAGTATTTTTCAAACGTCTTAGCGTTCTCAATGATATAGCAGAAAGAGTAGTTGCATTAATAGAACAACAAATGTTTGATTCTAAGATTGCGAAAAAAAAAGTACAAGTTATGGAATAACATTTTTTATTTTAATTGATAAATTATTATTACCTAATAGTCAAGTGTAAATAGAATATTTATTATTTTTTGAAAAAATGATTAATTTTTTTTGTCATTACTTATGTAAAGAAAAAAAAATCGATTTTTTAAAAAAATGTAGTTTTTCACGAAAAGTATGATATTTCATGTTTTTGAGAGAATATTTCGTAATATATGAAAAACTATAAAAGTCATTTATTATTTGAGGTTGAACTTACCTCAAATAACTTTTAAACGAGTCGACTAAGCACAAAATCATATCAGATCTTTTTTGTAGATCGTTCAATTCCCTACACAAATATGTATTGATTTATACAAGTCGCTGATTCGTTAAAACGCAATACAATTCCAAACAAAAAAATGCATTTTCCCGTGTTATTTAAATGGAAAATAAAAAATCGCGATGAGCATGAGTAAATAGAATATTTATTATTTTTTAAGAAAATGATTAATTTTTTTGTCATTACTCAAGTAAAGAAAAAAATTCGAATTAAAAAAAAATTAAATATAGGAAAAAACCCTTTTTTTCACGATTATTGATATTTCGTAAAAATTGTATTGTTTTACCGAAGAACACTCGATAAACTTCACGAAAAATATGATATTTCATGTTTTTGAGACAATATTTCGTAATAGAGTATGAAAAACTATAAAAGTCATCATTTACTATTTGAGGTTGACCTTTTTTTTTGTAGATCGTTCAATTCCCTACAAGAATATGTATAGATTTCTACAAGTCGCTGATTCGTTGAAACGCAATACAATTCCAAACAAAAAAATGTATTTTTCCCGTGTTATTTAAATGGAAAATAAAAAATCGCGATGAGCATGAGTAAATAGAATATTTATTATTTTTTAAGAAAATGATTAATTTTTTTTCATTACTCAGGTAAAGAAAAAATTTCGAATTTTAAAAAAATTTAATATAGGAAAAAACTTCACGAAAAATATGATATTTCATGTTTTTGAGACAATATTTCGTAATAGAGTATAAAAAACTATAAAAATCATTATTTACTATTTGAGGTTGACCTTTAACCTCAAATAACTTTTAAACGAGTCGACTAAACAAAAAATCATATCAGATCTTTTTTGTAGATCGTTCAATTCCCTACAAGAATATGTATCGATTTCTACAAGTCGCTGATTCGTTAAAACGCAATACAATTTCAAACAAAAAAATGTATTTTTTCCGTGTTATGGAAAATAAAAAAATCGCGATGAGCCACCTCTTAATATTGATATTAAGAGCTCAAACTTTATCAGAATTTTTTTTTCGTCATCTTGGACGATATTTTCATGGTAGCTAAAAAAAAGAAAATTAAAAGTTTTTTTGGGCCACCCTAATGTAGACTAATATAATTTGTGATTTTTTAGGTTCGTTTGGTGATAATGAACTGTCTCCAGAATGTTTGGATGGTGCTCAGCGATTCCTAAAAAAGACAGGAATCTCAATTCCCTACATTTACACTTCCTTTATAGCTCCCATACAAAGCTTGAAGATTTTTACTGAAATAAAACGCAACAGAACTCTGGACAAAACGCTTCAATCGATATATGAAACACCTTATGTAGTGCATTTGGCAAATTACTATCAAATTGCGCCACCACAGGTATGTTATAAGTAGGGATTTATTTTAAAAAAAAGTACTCAAAATTTATTTTTAGGAGTTGTTTTCGTTCACCCACCCTAACTGGAGTAAAAGGATAAACAATCAAAGATACAAAAAATTGAGTTTTAGTTGCAGTCAAACTTGCGTTCTTACCGGTTTTGCGGGATTTTTTGATACCTTTCTTTATGAAGACGTTAATTTGAGTATTCACCCTGAAACGCATTCACCAGATATGGTCAGCTGGTTCCCAATTGTATTTCCATTACAGGTAAGTTTTTATTTAAATTATTTTTAGAAAACTATGGTAGTTAAGTGCCCTCTAAAGTGGTTATGCGACTATTTTTCTATTTTTCATACTTTTTATGTGAGAAATAGTTACCTACTTATTTTCGCCATTTTACGGAAACGAATTAGCATAGTATTTATTTATTTTTACTTTTGATTCACTTATTTCATTTATATATAAAGGCAACATACATAAAATTGAAATTTTTACCATATTTAAGATGCCATCATCTAATTTAAATGGGTTAAGTTTTAGTATTATACAGGGTATCACAAGTCGCGCACCATCTTCAGGAATTACAGAAAATTGTTTAAAAATTCTTCATTATTAAACATTGATTTTTAAAACTTAAAAATAATAGGTTTACCCTGTTACACTTCGCTTCTGAAGATGCCAATATTGTTGGCGAAAAGTACTTTAAGCACTTTGTGTTTTGTTTTGGCGTTGAGGAATATTTCTAATATTTGTTAAACATATCACCAAAGTTGTCCTTTTTCAAGTACCTGTTTATATTGTTTTAAGTCTCATTGTTGTTACAGTGTTGATGAATTTTTAAATTGTTTGTAATATTGTAAACTACTTTTTATACATATTGATGTCTTATTAATATTTATTTTATACATTTCTTGACTTGTCCTATACAATTTATAATTTGTTCAAAGGATTAATAAAGGAATTTGAATTTAAATAGATTTACAGAATGTTTAAACAAAGGAATTAATATTTTATATTATGAGAAAATGTATTTTTGGATTTTTACTTTCACAATAAGCATGCGTTTGGCAACAATTAATGGGTAATTAATTGATTTCTGTTGACATCACACCATAAACAATGAACATAGATCTAGGACAATGATTGACTGATAAAATTTAAAATAAGATTCTTTTACAGCATTATTAAGTAGACAATATTTTTTTTTGCTAAAAAAATTAAGCCTAATAAAATATTTAATAGGTCAATCTCTAAAAAACCTAATAGTTATTTATGTCATTAGGTTAAGAAGTAAGGCTTTTTGTGCTAAGCTCAAAGTTTGAAGGCCGACGCGTAGCGGAGGCCTACAATTGAGCGAAGCACAAAAAGACACTTCTTGGCCGAATGGCATACAACATTTTATCTTCAAAGCACTTTATATAGGTCAATTTAATTCAACATGAAAGTGGCATAACCTCACTTTTTTTAATCTCATTTATTTATTAGCTAAAGATTACATTAAATGTACAATAATTATTATTCCTTTTAGAAGCAGTAATAGTTTGACAATACCTAGCTACATGATTTAAGTAGAAATGGATTTTTGTAAGAAAATGGTTTACTTACCCTCTTGCTATTACATTGAATTCAATTAATTGTTTAATAAATAGGTATCTAATTTCAATTTGTTTGCATTTTTATTAAAAAATAGGTAGTTTGGAATGTTTACGCTGTGTTTAACATTTAATTTTACTGAAAACTTAAAGCAAATTAAAATTTAAAGATAATTTAAATCGTAGAAAAAGAAAACACAACTGTGAAACGTCAAATTGCAATGTCCTAACCTCACTTTTTATTTTATTATTCATATTTAATTTTACAATAATTTAATGAAAAATATTAAACATTATAATGTTATAACAGTAAAACAAACAAATTAGTGCTTATTATAAATAAATTAAACCAGTTTAGTACGTTAATTTCTTAGAAAAGAATTAATTTGTCAAAACAATACCCCTAGCGAGAAAAAATCGAACTAATTACTTGCCTCATAAAAATTTTTATCGGCCTAGGCCATAACAAGGTATTTCTTTATCGAATGTTGACAACAATAAAGTTTAAATTATAGACCGCGTGGAGATAAAAGTACATTTATTGTATTACAACAAAAAACTCAAAAAAATACTGTGAAGGTTACAAATAGATTGTCAATTATAATGATTATTAAGAAGATGACATATCTCCAAAGAAATTGCTCAGTAGGCGCTTGTTGCGCATATTCCTATATTAGTTCACCCCCTGCCTCCAAGTAATGGTAACGAGTTCGGTCAATTTATTTTTTACACTTTTTAGTCCTCATTTCGTGTTGACGCTGAAGCCTAGTTTTTTAGCGTCAAAACAGTCATAAATAAACAAACTTTTACCGCAAAAGCAAAGACCCATATTTTAATGAATTTTACATTAATAAACTGTTAGTACTGTCTGTCCACTCTAAGTTGGCGGAACTAAGGAATGTTGTAGTTTAGATATTAAAGAATTGTCGTACTGTGTGCTTTTAAAACAGATTTTATATTATAAATAATACTAGTACATATTATATACTAGTATTATTTATAATATAAAATCTGTTTTAAAAGCACACAGTACGACAATTCTTTAATATCTAAACAACAAAATTCCTTAGTTCAGCCAACTTAGAGTGGACAGACAGTAAGTATAATAAAATAAATAATAATATTCATTAATATTGTTTTTCTACTCCTATTACAGAATATTGTGGACTGATATATGTAATTTCCTTAAGTTTTATAATCTGTGCCTTAAAGTATTACAGAATGAATTATTCTATCATCGGATGACGGAATAAAAACTGGTGGCGACATCTCTGTGTTTAAGATCTAACAAATTTTAGACCGATCCAACCTCACTTTCTCCCAATTAAATTATTTTTCCATGGTATTTGTTTGGAAACTTGTTTGGAATTGCATATTCCAAACTTGTTACAAAATATACTATTATCAACTCCTATTATTGTTTTTGTTTCGTAAATAATGATAAAGATTATAAATTTCCTGCCTAACAACGGGAATAATGAATTTATTATTCACGTTGTTAGACATCAGTGATTTGAACCTGCGGACTCGTGAAATCTGCAGCTCGGTTTCAATTCGAAAATATCATCGATGATAATCATACCACTTGTTATGGGTGAAAATAATTTATTTATATACTTATTTCAGTAAATAATGTTTTAAACTCAGATTATGCGCATTATTCACTCGGATGATTTAAGTCTCTCGTCTGGCGACTCGAGAAGCATACCTCATCCTCGTGAATTCATTATCTCTCGTATAATTATATGCTATTTAAGCAATATAATTTATATTTTCACTTATCTTACAAAATCCTTAAATATTATTTATTTATTATTATTTTAAGAAACCATTTAAATTAGTATAAAAATAATGTGGAGCTCTTTAAAAACATTTATTCATTATGAATTTACCATGTAGGTACTTTGTTTATTACAGTGGTGCACGGAATTTCCACAAATTCCGTGTCCCCCATTGCAATGCATTGTACCATATATTTATATTACAATAAATTTTTTAAATTGTACTTATTTTATACCAATTATATTATATAAGTATACCTTTCACTCTATCTAACCTATAAATCAGCGTCAAAGAAAAAAGCTAAATTTATTTCAGCTTTTTACTTCTGACACTGGCGTGAGATGACTTTATTAGTAGGCAAAGTTGCCATTTAAAAAATTATGTATCCCCTGTATCTTTTTAAATAACGAAGGTAGATTTTTTTAACAATTTTCTGGAACTCCTGGAGGTCTGTATATCATACAACAAGGTGGTGCGCAACTTCTGGGACACCCTTTATAGCTTTTTATGGTTTAAAAACAAAAAGACAATATTATTATGCACACTTTCCCTTCCTAGGTGGCGTCAATGAATACATCTACTGAATACATATATGTATTCAGTAATGTATACACTACGAAATTTTCACATTGACTGTAACATTTATAAGTTGTTCTATTACGCGCTTAATGATTGTTATATTGGTACTAGATCTTTCAAAAAGTCCAATAATGATTTGTATATAATTTAAAACTTATAAATGTATATTTATGATTTTAGAATCCGGTTCATGTAAAAGAAGGCACAAAAATAGAAATTTCGTTTTGGAGGGCGGAATCTCCAGATAAAGTTTGGTATGAATGGTGTTTAGAATCTCCAGTCAAACAAAGTATCAAGAATCCACATGGCAGGTCCTATTTTATTAAAAAACATTAGTGCTATGTTTTATTGTTAATGTTTTAAAACTTAGAATTTTAATTTTTTTTACTATTTTTATAAAAAAAAGTTTTAATTTCAAGAATTGTTTTAATTAACCTTAGGTCATCAATCAATCAATAAAAAAAGTTCATGAGCGCTCAAGAATTAATTTTACAAAAAATCGATAATATCATTGTAAAAATTAAAATAATAAAATACATTAGAAAGTTTTTGGTTTATTTGTTTGTCTTTAACAATCTTATTTTTATTAAAATCATTTTCTTCTAAACTTATCTAAAGTATAGTTAAGAACTTGCTGTTACAAATTGAAAATGTTAGTAGTTAGTTTAAAATCTTTTAAAAGGCCAGGAAAAAAATATATCATACATTATTAAATTTGCATTTTTCATATTTTTTAATGGAAAAAACATATAGATTTTAGTTATGAACGCCAATGCAGAAGGTTTAGCTTTGTTCTAGGTCGTTAAAAAAATCCGATAGGAATCACAAATTGCTTTAGACTCAAGGAAAGGTGTGTGTATGTAGATTTGACAGAACACGCGAATACCTTTACGTACATTTATTGATTTAAAAATTATTTTGTTGTAATCATCTCCAACCACTAGCAACTATCAACACACCGCCGAACTGAATAGTCGCCAAATCGATAGTTGCTTTATTCAAACTTTCACTTTGCAAAGAGACGGTTGAAAAAATGGCTCCGAAAGCTTTTATTATGAAACTAAGTCCACCATGCAGGGCCATCCTGATGGTTGCAAAAGCAATTGGTCTTGAACTTGATATTGAAGAGGTTGAAAAAGATCAGCTTAGAACTCCAGAAATGTTGGAGGTAAGTCCTAGTTAAACATGTATTTTTGAAGTCACGATTCAAGGACGTATCATGAGGAATACCCAATCCATTGATTAAAAATTATTTTGTAATTATTTATATTTTATATAAATTTTATTTCACAAAGCTTTTGGATTCATTAAATATCGGGTAGGTATTCCATAATGTAGAACAATTTTTAAAAAATTATAATTAAAAATAATTAATCGTATTAAATCTTTTTTGGATTATATTAATAATAATAATAATAAACTTTATTGGAAATCCAAAAGGATTATATTATTTTATTTTTTATAATGATTTTTATTTGTGTATAGATGAATCCTCAGCACACCGTACCAATATTGGTGGACGGGGATTTTATTCTATGGGACAGCCACGCAATTTCCGGATATTTGGTTGGTCAATACGGCGAAGATGACTCTCTATATCCCAAAGATGACACTAAAAAAAGAGCCACCATCGATCAACGCTTGCATTTTGAAAATGGAATTTTATACACAAGATGTCGCGAGGCAGCCGTAAGTATCTAGAGCGTGTCCCAACAAGTACCTCATTTCTTATTAAGAAATTCTTAAAACATTATTGAATGATGTCAGGATGGTTCATATAGACCTTAGTTTCCAAAACTCCAGAGGAATAAGTCAAGAGGTGCAACTTCTTGGCGGCCATAACAAATTTAGAGAAACCACATTTAAGACTATGAGAACCATGCTTAGACGATTCAACGGTTAAAATTTATTAATAAATTTAACGTATTTATATAAATAAATACATTAAAATGACAATAAAAAAACGTAATACATTGTTTGCTTTCTAAATATTTGTATATAGGTAGAAAAGTCAAGGTCTAAAAATAAACGTGAATAAAAAGGTTCAAATTATTAAATCGATATCGGAAGTTGTGTTGAATTGAAAAATGCTTATTTCTATTGTTGCTGGGTAGATTTTTATATACCTACCTAACAATTTAAATCCTATACATAAAGTGGGAATTTGTAAAATAATGTTAATATAATAACTTAAAACAATTACAAATTTTGAAAAGGACAACTACAATTGAGGCGCTTCTTAGAAAAATAGACATATTATGTCTATATATATTGATTGTTTAATATTGTTTATTTTAAACAATCATATCTTAAAAACTTAGAAATAGTATGGCACGCCGTTTTACTTTTTAATGACATCAAAAAATTAACTCAAAACAAAAATTATCAAAATTAAAAATTGTCTAGAAAATATAAACGTTCATAAAAATTACTAAATTAAGTTTAATTATAAATTAAAATCTACTAATTTATTTTTTGGTTTATTGGATAAATATATAAATATATTTACATCATTCTGGTGTGATCTATATTTTTAAGCCTCAGTTTTTGTTGTATGAATATTTTTTTTCTATTTAAAAAAGGTGCTTATATGTAAATAATAATATTTCATTTATTAATTTAAAATTAAGTTAAAGTAGAATATTTATTTTGGAATAAAAATTAGACAAGATTTAAATCTGTAAGCGCAAGGCGAATTTTCTCGATGAAAAATTCGATGAATTAAAATGTTGGTTAACACTCGTAAACAGAATTTTAATTTGGCGCTAGTGCATAGTGCGTTTGTTTTACGTACTACTGCCTCCAAGCGAAACCACATAACGTGGAAGTACGAAAATAAATTAGGCAACAGTGCAGTCCAAAATTTTCAGTGCTATAAATAAACTGCCCTGCTGGCTAACCTCACTTTATACGAAATAATTTAGATATGGATTTCAGACTGTGGTTCATTATTTGGTTAGTTGTCTATGCAATAGGATTTCTCGTAGAAGAAGATATGTATATTATTACCAGAATTGTCCTACTCGTTACGTGTCCGAGCCGACTACCTGTACAGTATAAATAATCCACAAACTTAATGAATGTAATTAATGGTGGATTGAAAATATTGTATTGTTTTTTATCTTTTAGTCAATAAAATCCAATATTTTAGTAAAAAAGATTTTCTTTATTTATATTTTAAAAAATTAACTAATAAATTAGATAATAAATTAAGGAAAGCAAAACAGGTAATTAAATAAAATGGCAGTAGTACGTAACACAACCGTACTATGCACTAGCGCCAAATTAAAATTCTGTTTACGAGTGATAACCAACATTTTAATTCATCGAATTTTTCAGTCAGAAAATTCGAGGTACATAATATTTATTCCAAAAAATAAAAGTAAGGAATTATATATATCACATACAAGTAGCATTGAATTTATAATCTAAACCACATACAAGTAGCATTGAATTTATAATCTAAAAAAATAATCTTATTAAAAGAAATATGGCAGAAAGGTGCTTAAATGAAAATTCGTATTGCTAGATTTAAATAACATAATAATTATTAACAACTATACCACAACTTTATTCCCGAATAAAAATTGTTTCAAAGTGTTTTAAACAACAAAATAATTCGTTTTAAAAGTAAATATTAAAATTTAAAAAAAAAATAATAAAAATAAAATTGTATTCAATTCTTATTAGTCAAATAAAATTTTAAATATTAAAACAAATATTTCGTGCAAAATATTTGTGTGTCGAATAAGAAACTTTATCACTTTAATTTCTAAAAGGTAAATTGATTTTTATGTCGACGAGTAATAATAGAAATTAATTGCGACATAATGATAATTTCAGTATTACTTTTTCTTAAATAAATGTCGCGAACCTTGAATTAACTGGCTAAGAAATTCGATGAATTAAAATTTTGGTTTCCATAATTTCAATTTGACTGCGTGTTTCTCAAGTAGCGCCTTATTAAAATTATCTCAATCCAAATTTTAATTCATCGAATTTTTTAGTCAGAAAATACGCCATTCAGTTCCAGAATTAAAATTATTTTAATTCTTATTTTGTGCTTAAAATTGTGTACTTAATATACCAAGACATGATAAAAAATTTTCTTTAAAATGTTCAGTCAATTTTTAAAAACGCAACTTGAATTAATATTTAGGTTTAATACACATGACATTAAAAAGTAAAACGGCGTGCCATAAAATAGAGACTTGTGCTAACAAGACATTTTTGGACTATGGCTGTTTTTGTAAAAAGCACCTCAATCATCTTCTTGTTACATGTTACATTTTCGGTTAATCAGTTAATTAGTAGTAAATAAATCAAGATAAAAAAAATAAACAAAAATGTATTTTACAATAACTTTATTAAAAACAACATTTCCGCGATTTTAAAATCGCTCACAACTTTGCCCAAGGAAACTATTTTTTACAATTTTATTCCATACATCAAGTTTGGGAAGTTTAAGCAAGTATTTTAGTTACTTACTGTATAATTTCTTGAGAAATTATATCTAGCTAATTATTATTATTATTATGTACATATATTCTTCTTGTTCCTATAAAAAGACCTACCTGAAATAATAATTAGGGCCGTTAGTACCAAAAAAATAAGTTAATTTCCGTACACATTTTCACACACTATAAACTAATAATTTGTAGTGTAGAAAAATTACGTATCTATAGACATAAAAAACATTGTGTTAAAATGTTTTTTTTTGTTTTTTATTCATGCTGTACATTAAAAATAATGTGTTGTAAAATTATTAAACATAATATATAGTTATTTGTTTTACAAGTTTTGAAAAGCGACTTTTTCATGCGAGTGTTTAATTATTAACACGAGTATGAAGAAAGCTTTTCTCACATGTGAAAAACAATATTTTTTCGACGAGCCTTTTATTTTTTATTATACTCAAATACAAAACAAAATAACCTAAAAACGTGTTTGACAGCTGTTAAAATTACTTTCATCTTATTCTTTTAATTTTAAGGGATAAGTTACTTAAAATCAATAAACTTACCTTCTCAAATTAAATAAATTTATTAAGGCACTAAAAATTAGAATTTATTATACAAACACAATTAATTGTGTTCTAAATGATATTTAGACACATATACAAATACAATACAAATTTTGAAACGAATGTCAAACGATGCTGTCAATTTCTTTTCACACAGACCTGTCACTTTTCACACAGAAATGTCACTTTACATTCGTGTTTTGCCTTGCCAATAAAAAGATTCATTTTCTAAGCAAGGATGCCAATACGAAATGTGACTTTTACATAGTGGTCGTAGAAAAAACACATTTTGTAAAAGTATGCTTAAACATATACAGGGTATATGAAGGTATAGAAAAGTTTATAAACGAGGTGCATACTATACTTTTTCTACGACAAATACTTATTATTATCTTAAAATGATTTAAATCAAAAATTTGTATAGTGCGTCATCTATGAAACAACAGGGGAAACTGTCAAATGTCACATTTTTACATTTTATAAACACAATTATAAAGGTTATAAATCGAAATGTATATTGAAAATTGACAGTTTTTCACAGTGAAAGTAAAGGAAATGTTTTATGAGGACCTTACAGTAGAGTCCGTGCCCGAATTTAAGTTATAGTTTACTGCCGGCGAAATTAAAAGGTCAGTACAATGTTCATATAAACTTTTCAAATATTGGCGTAGAGAAACTATTTAATATTTTGTATTTTTGTATTGAGATAATAAAATAATTTTCACATTTAGTACCTATTATTTTACAAGGCACTTTATTTTAACGATTGTATGACATTTGACAACTGTCAACTAACTTAAAACTAACTTCAGCCCGTGACTAAAAACCTGTTGCTAACTTCAGCCCGTGACTAAAGCGCCGTAAAGCCACAACTTCTCAATGTGTATTTAAAAGGTCACTTACACAGCAAACGGAAAATTATAGAGGTGTATAGGATGACGCCACGTTTGAATATGGTTTTCTAAATCTCCCTACGGTATAGAGTTGTATTCGTCAGTCGAGCGTTTCAATACTCTCCACAGTATAGAGGTCGTAATTTCACTTTTGAACTAGTATTAATATAAAAATTATTTTATGCTTAAAAAAAACTATATACGACATGATTGTGATTTTTTTCATTTTATTAATTAATTAAGCTGTGTTGAATATTTTTCCTAAAGGAATAATTGCCAATTGGCCATTAATTCATTTGTTCGTAGATGCTACAATAACCTGCACTGGTGTATACTTTTTGATCAACCAGATTTAAATATTGCTGAACTAACATAAAATTTCCAGTGGAGATGTGCAGGATCTACCAACATACCTCATTACTAAATTATTAAAGTTTAATAGCATATCGATCATTTTTTCAACATAACCTCTGAAATTTTTAATACAAATATAGGTACTTTATATAATACATAAATATACTTAACATCATATCATCTGTGCTTTACATACCTGAGTTGTTACGGTAAATAAAAATCAGACAAAGGAACCAAAGAAAGGATCTATTTTCAACAAAATCATATGCAGAAAGGAGAAAATTCAAACTACTTGCATCCATCAAAAGATCAAAACTTCTTGCAATATTACACCCTCTTTTTATACTCTCAGAAATATTGACTAGAACAGTATTAGAGAGAATCCAGTTTCTTTAACTTGGTAGAGTAAAGAGAAGTCGAAACCGTTGCGATATTGCATTGCGCTGTTTTTGTATAATTTTCGGGGACATTAACGAAAATCATTGCCAGTAAAATTCGAAAAGCTTGAGTTTCTATGTCTCTGAGGAGAATAGGAATCCGAAGTTGCTGCACCATTGGACTGAACCCTTTTTTAATAATTTCTAGAGACATAAATGACTGCACCATTCGACAGGGTCGAGTTTCTACCTCTCTGTTGAATATAGAAAATCAAAATAATGTATCTTGTAAGACACCATTGAGTTTGACTTTAAATATACTCGTGCATAGGTATAGAGCCGAAAAATATAAAAACAAAGCACGATTCAATACATTTATGATAAAACTTTAAGATTTGATATTCAAGGGCTCAAATTTTCAGGGAATTTTTTTTTTCAACCAAAAAAACAAAATTTTCATGTGTCAGCAAGAAAAAAAAATTTTCGTTTTAAATGAAACACCCTACTGAATATACACTTTTGATTTTTTTGCTATGGCAACAATAATGGATATGATTATCTTGAAAACAAAGAGATTCTGAAAACTAGTTAATAGAAAGTTTTTTCATATTATTATGCAGGGAATTTAACCCTATTTTTTGCAATATTAATGAATCACCCTATACACACAGTGTGTGCGATTTACCTTAAAAATTTATAATTTTCATACATGGTCAAATATAGCACTATGTCCCAAAAACAAATATATTAAAATCGGTGATATGATATAGGTATCATTTGTTAATATCAATCATTATTATATATTATATTATAATATCACTTTTGATATACAGGGTGTTCAAAATTGTTATCCAACATTTAATTGTTTTTCTGTTTTTTACCCTTTTAATCAGAAGAAAAAATGACACCAATGTTCTAATTTAACCGACTTTATAGCTCCAATAATAACGAAGTTGGCATATAACTTTGGATACTCTGTATATCAAAGTGATATTATTATATGTACAAGGTATTAAAACAAAACATATATTTACAAAAGATAAAATAAACTTAAAAAATCCAGAATAATTGTGATTAATAGGTACCTATATCAAATCAATATTCAAAATTCCAATCGTGAAATTGTAAAATATAATGTAAAAAAATACAAAAATTGTTCGTTTTAAGGTGGATTCATGCAAGCATGTCTTAAATTAACTTAACTTAACTTTGTACCAATCTTGTACTAATCTTTATCCCATGAAAATTAACCGTTCATACATGTACTCAGAGCTGCAAGCTCTCAGAAAACTTAAATCGTTTTTTTGATTTAAATCGTTTTAATGACTTAAGTCATTTGGTAATAAGTCATTTCTCTAAAACTGACTTAAGACTTAAAATTTAAGTAATTTTCAAAATGATTTGTGACTTAAATATTTTTTTCAAAATAGAAAAAACTTAAGTCATTAATAAAAGGCATAAATCAGTACATACGATTTAAGTCAGGTAGAAACGATTTAAGTCAAAAAAAGATTTAAGTCTTTTTTAAAAAGATTCAAGTCTTTTTAGAAAATATTTAAGTCAGATTTTTCATATATTTTTTTATAAATTTTTAACATCGGCATTTTCTTTTGAACTGCCAGGGGTTCACGCGGCAGCAGATCAAAAACTCCTTTAATTTCCTACCTATAATTGCTACCGCTAGTGAATAAAAAACCGCACCGTTAAAGTTAGCTTTTCGGAACAGTTTGACGGCTACATTAAAAAATGTCCTGTCTAAAATGAATTAAAAATTTTGTTATTTTGTTTGCCAACATTCGTCGTGTTCGTGCGTAGTTAGGTCTAATAATTTGTGATTATTAGTGCAAAGTGGAAACAATCGGTCGTGAGCGGTCGCGAGCAGTCGTTCATCTTGAGCGGTCGAACCAGCTAACAAAAATTAACAAAACAACAAGTTATCAGCGAAATACAGCGATTTTAAGAAAAATGCTTCAACTTTTATCTATTTTAACAGAGTTTGAATCTATTACCGTTTAGAAGTTACCCATTTATGTATATAAAAAAGTAGCCTCCCTGTATGTCTACTCAACTAAAAAAGGTGGTTTAAGTTTTTATTTTTATTGTCTACTATATACTCAAAAATGTGTTTAAAGTTTTTATTTTGTTTATCATCATCTGTATCTACAATAGATTAATAATATCAGTATCATTAATACCATAAAATTATTATTAACATTTAAAAAATCGTTGTATTGACTTAAGGGTAATTATTTTGATTTAAATCACAATTTTTGATTCAAGTCATTTTATTGACTTAACTCTTAGATCACGATTTAAATAAAAAATATAGACTTAAGTCATAAAAACGACTTACTAAAGGAATTAAGTCATAAGATGACTTAAATCACTTTATATTGATTTAAGAATTTGCGAAAATGACTTGACTTGAAAGAAAATGATTTAATTCAAAGACTTAATACTTAAATCATTTGAAGTTTATCTTAGAATTGACTTAAGATTTAAATCATTTTGATTTTAGAATTGACTTAAGACTTAAGTCTTTTTAAAACTGACTTGTTGCAGCTCTGCATGTACTATTATCTTAAAGATTTTACATGCGCATTACATATAAAAATATAAAACAAACCCACAAAATACTAAATTTTCAAAAATGTAAATACAATGAAAGTAGCTACATTAGACTATGAAGTTGGCTACATTACCAGTACATGCGCATTTGCCTATTTTTATTAAGAACTTAGGACATAAGGATCTTAAAGATAAAAGTAAACCAACTTTTCTTAGGATTCAAATTAAGTTAGGTTAAGACGAATTTAAATTGCATGAACGGTTCCGCTCATTATTACAGTTTTATCTCTTTAAGATAAGGACAAAGACTAAGTTAGTATTAAGACCTGCTTGCATGAATCCACAGTTAAATGAAACACCCTGAATATTATTCAGTCCTCATTTATTTTTTATAAAAAAATATTTTTAGCTCCCTCTCTTCATGGGAGAAAGCGAAATAGACGAGGACGTAAAAGACAAACTCATCGAAGCCCTTGGCTTCCTGGAATCCTTCCTAAACGGCCACGATTGGTTTGCCGGTGACGAAGTCACAATAGCCGATCTGAGCATCTTATCGACGCTTGCCACTGTTGAACTGTTTATTCCAGTGGACGCCGAAAGGTTTCCGCAACTGGACGCTTGGCTGAAACGAGCCAAAGATTTGCCGTATTTCCATGAAACTAACGCTGAAGGCTTGCAGTTGTTTAAGGAGATGATGCCGAATGCTGTTCCCTTTGAAGCCTGAACATGTCTTGATTAAACGTGTTAGAGTGATTTATTTTAAGAGTTGTGGTATGTTTCAAACACAGGTTATGTGTAGAGAGTTGTTATTTTGTTAAATTTTGTTATTGCAGCAGTTTATAGAGTACTTATGTTCTTTTTATCACTGCATATTTTAAAAGTTTATTAAAGCTTACAAAGAAAATAATCGTTTTATTTACAATTAAACTCTACATTTAGATGTAGCTACATGCTGTATTTTCATTTATTCTATAGCAGCATTCGACAGGTAGAATTAGCAGTTTTTATTATTGAGTTTTAATTAAGGTTAGGTTTTCAAAATACCGGTATATTTTCTTTAGTTAAATATTCGTGTTTTTTTAAATAAATCCTGTTTATGACATTATTCTTTTAATAATTGAAACACCCTTTTTAAGAAGAAACGTATTTAGACATAATTAACCTCATGTAGCCTCACCCTCCTATACACCCACGAGCCGCCACTGATCCGATCACGAAAACAAGAGACAGAAACGTGATTGAATCTGATAGGATTTGATTGGGGTCAGCAGGGTACCGTAACGTTACGTGCAATTTCAAGTATGGTTAAATATTTAAATGAGCTTTAAATGCATTTTTGTTGGAATGGTATTTGAAATTTACGGATGTAGCAACTGCCCCCTCTACCTCACCCCCTCCCGGCGCCCATGCCTTCAATTTTTATTTTATAATGGGATCAAATATCAATCTGATAAACACCCGCCAAAACATTGGTTTAATATAGACCACACGCACGCAGTGTTAAATGAACTGTTTATCAGTGACCACATATTGCAAATAATAATAAAACTTGAAATGACTATTATTTTATATTACATTCCGCTGAGCCCTCCTGCAAGGGCAGTGCTAATGACGGCTGAAATTTTGGGTATTGACATTGAAAAAAGGGAAGTTGACTTGTCTTCTGGGGAACACTTATCCGAAGAATATAGAACGGTAACAGTTTTTTATTTATTATTGATTATATAAAATAAGCAATGTAATACTTGAAAAAATAAGTTCCTTTAGTTTTCAAAACATCTTATTTAATGCACCTACATGTAAAATAGTACATTATTTAACAGGCGGAGAAAGCTCTTATATTATACCCGAGATCAGTGTTTGCCGCCGAGGCTGCAGATCTGAGCGAGGCAGTTAATATGCTTTATTCGCCATGTTGTATATACCTACTATTATTTTTTTTAAACGTTTAATAGTTCTATCGTTGAGTGAAGAAGTATTTTAGAACTTATTATAATGATTAATAATAATGATTATAATCAATGGTTCTATACTGAGGTACATTGGAATTATTACGAGCTAAATGCGATAGATGTAACAACTCTAGAGTTGTTATGAAAATGTATACATTGAAATACATAGGAGCTCCTATGTATGTCAATGTATACATTTTCATTATTGAACGGAGGTGTATAATAATTTGAGTTTTGAACTACACACAAACCTAGTACAAATATTCATATTTTCATAGGGTTCTGAGTGTCATAAAATGAAAATTGATATACGCTTGCACTCTTCTTTAAAATTTCAAAATATCAATTGTATACATGACAGTGGTGGCTCGTGACCATTCATTAAGGTGAGGCCCATAAACCGCTATATGGCGCCGCAGGCAATTTTTTTGAAATTTTCAAGGTCTCGCGTTTTTGGAGCACTTCAGAATCTAATTATTTAAATAATAAAAATATATTATATGTTCTTTCACGAGAAGAATTTACAAAATTTAGCTAGAATAATACAAAAAGTGCGGGACGAGGTGGGATTTTTATGTATTCCTTCAGCAGGTTTCCACATTACCCAGGAGGTACTGCTCATTTTTACCTATCTTATTATAATTATTTTTAGATTAATAAAGGCACAACCGCACAACAACAAAATAATAATGTACAAGCACAGTAGGTATATGAAACTCAACCATTTAACACTGAACTATAAAAAACATCAATATTTTTATTTATATTTTTTGTGATTTTTACTGTGGCATTTGTGTGTTAATATAATAGTATATTAAAATAAAAATGATCTTTTATAATTATTTGAATTATTTTTACATGAATTCACAACACAATAATACGCTTGCATTTTTATCACAACTTTCCATTTTAACGCTAAAGCAAAGACTAAACAGAAATAAGAAACTATAAACATGCATAGATCTAACTAATAAGCTTTGTTTACTAAAACATTCCACGCCCCGCCCAGTCTTTTACAACGGCTGATAAGCGAGCCGCACAGATCTCGGGACTGACTCTGCTGTCTTCCATATACTGTGGTACAAGCCCAACTTTGTGGGCCTCAATGTCTACAAAAAATCGCGTATTTGCGGGGGTGTCGGCGGCACCGTGCAGCGGTGGGGAGCATGATGTATCGGCAATGTGTGACGTATATGAAGCGCAAATTTCTGGGATTACTATTTCCCTATTATGGGGTCGAGCAATGATTTAAGCGTTTAGAATTAAAGTTGGAAGGGGTGCGCGCAAAATTTAAAGGAAATATTTTAAACTTTGATGGATATTCGATGTTTTGATACTTTTTAAAACGTTTTATATTTAAATAAGTAATGTATTCAACATTTCAAATTATATTATAATTTTAACATGTGAGGCCTGGCCTCAGTTGCTTTATACGACGAGCCGCCACTGATACATGAAATAAAAGTATTTAAAATTTAGCATAAATACCAATTTTTTTATAATATTATACACACATTTTTTATTTTAAAGACCAACTGACAGTTTTGACCAATTATACGTATCAACTGAATTGAAAACTTTTGATGAACAAACGGCATGCTAGTTTTTAATTATAATTTATACAATTGTGTATACCTATTCAATTAAAAAAAGCAAATTATTACTCAATCATAAAAAAAAAATTGATATAAATATGTAAAGTTGATAACATATTTTATGTTTGTTGATTATAGAAATATACTAAAAATTAATATTTACAATTTAAGGAAGTAAATATAATAATGTTTAATACTTTTTCGTAATAGTTTTATCACAAAAATATATTTTTAGTTAAATCCCCAACACACAGTTCCAACTCTGGTAGATGGTGAAACAGTTATTTGGGATAGTCATGCAATTATTGCATATCTGGTAAGAAAATATGGAAAAAACGATTCCTTATACCCAAAAGATTATTCCATAAGAGCTCTGGTCGACCAAAGATTACATTTTGAAGGAAGCGTCGTTTTTATTTCTGTCAGACAAATTGTGGTAAGCAACAAAACCAAAATATTATTATCCCTGTGATAATTTGAACTTTAAAACTATTTTAATTTTATTTTAGAGGTCAATGTTTTTTAAAGGATGTAAGTCAATTTCCGAAGAGCACCGCCTGAATGCTTACGAAGCCCTGGACTTTCTGGATAAATTTTTGAAAGGAAAAAAGTTTGCAGCCGGAGATAATCTTACTCTAGCTGACATCAGTTTGGTTTCCTCGATTTCTTCTTTAAATGTTATTATACCAATTGATAGGCAGAAATTTACAAACGTTGCCCGGTGGTTTGATGAAGTTTCCGCTTTACCTTTCTACAAAGCAAATGTTGAAGGATTAAATGATTTTAAAGTATTTATGACTGGATTAATGTCTTAGGATATAACTAAATAAATAATAGTTATTTGTATTTGTAAATAAAACGTTTGAAATATTTAAGTATTTTATTTGAAATTTTATACAAAATACAGTATTATTACTGCAGTAATACATGTAGCATAATTTCTTAAAAATTTGTCAAAATGAAGCAAATATTGAAAAAACGGACAAAATAAAATTATTCTTCCAATTATATAATTAAGTCCAACTTGGTTTGCATCATAGAAAGATAACTTTTCCATTTCCTTTATTCATTCGCAATTTTGGGGAATTTATTTTCATCCATTGGTATACCATAACGTTGCAAGTTCTAAAGGTCATAAACCAAAAAGGAACAAAATGGTAACGGTTGCTATAATCGACAAATCTGATATTGTAACATTGTCAGCGGATCGAATTTAGTTTTCTCCAAGTAATTTCCAAAAATCTGTAAGCTTCTATCAGGTTGTCGCTCCATTCTTTTAAAATAGTTTTGGCTCCATGAAAGTAAATGGATCTCTAAAAATTTATATATCAACAGACAATCTAGCAAACTGCTTTTCCAGCCTGTTTTCAACATTTTTAGTTTGGTTTAAATTAAAAGATACCTTACCGTTATAACCAACATTCGAGGAAATAAAATTCCATTATCAAAAAATAGACGTTGATCGACTTAAGCTATGGACTGAGGTTCTTTTGGATTAAGGGATTCATCGTTTCTATATTTTTTACCACGTATCTCATAATTTCATGGCTGTCCCATTATCGTCCAGAGTTGGAACAGTGTGTTGAGGATTTATCTATAAGAAATTAATATTTCAGAAATATTACAATCTTAGTTTTCTGGAGTATTTCCAAAAAGGTTTTAGGAATAATTCAATCGTTATTAAGTATTTTAAATCTTTTTAAGTTTTAGCCCACTGGGAAAGAAACCTTACAAAATATTACTACAATGTTTTCCGACTTTACAAATAAAATATTTTTTGCTACTAGCAGTAACAATATTAAAATGTTGCATATAATAATGTCCATCAAATTTAAATTTAAAACATTATTTAAAGATTTATATAGAAAGCTTTCCAATGTTAGATTTATAACAATGATTATGAAATGTTAAATAAAATTTTACATAACATTTTTAAATGTTTTATCCGAAATGTTACCTTAAGGTGATTTTTGCAATGTTGCTTTGTATAAACAATATACACATTTCATTTGCAAGATTTTTGAAATATTGCAATGTTAATATTACATTTATAAGTTTTGGGCAATGTTTCATCCGGAATATTACACTTAGTTCAAATATAAAATGATGTTGTTTTAAATATATTGATTTGTACATAGTAGGGTGCTTTTATCACGACTATTTTTTTTTCGCTCCCCACTCAAAATCTTGTTTAAAATGTTAAAAAAAAATCTGAAAATTTGAGCCCTTAATATTAACTTTAAGTACTATCCCAAAGCGTATAAAGAATTCCCATTTAAAATACACGATTTTTTTGTTTAAATATCTATATCTCAGCCGCAATCAAAAGTTCTACAAAAATGCTTTATGTGCCATAGCTGTAATCTGCTCCTGATTTTAGTGAACAATTCTCATATTTTTAAATATAGTTCAAAAGTGACTGGATTCATTGAAAAAATGTAAGGACAAACTCTGGTGATTAGAGACAAATAAATAACTAAAACAATCAAGCATAATTATTAATAACATAACTTTAAATAGATTTGAACGTTTTTTTTAATAAAAGGTTGTCCCTTTCACAATGTTGTTATACTAACTGTATTCCGATAAAAACCTCTTTTTTACAAATACCGGGTGTAGCAATTATAGCGTGTATTTTTCACAAAATTTGTAACACCCTGTAGTGTTAAACAGCTATCAAGTTAGAATTAAAATCAAACTTGCATTGAAGCAATCAACTTTTGAATGACATTTTCGGGAAAATTTGTCCAAACTTCACTAATTTCAGTGGCGGATTTACCAGCGGCAAATTTTAGGGCGGCGGCAAATTTTGCTCAACAATTTTTTTGCCCAAAGCGCGAAAGTATTGCATTGCAATGCCGCGCCGTTGTCAGCAAGTTATTAATAATAATGGATATTCTATTAATTATAAGTACTTTTAATTGTTATAGTTTTAAAATGAGTTTTTTATTTATTTTTTGTTGAAATAAAATACAATAAAATTCTGTTGAATACAATTTGTTGTTCTGCTTTTGTCGCCCACATTCCCATTAATTTTAAAAATTATTATTATTTACCATTCTTATTTAATACCTACATCAAAATGTTGTGAAATATTAGTTTCAAATAAACATAGTATTTATATTAAAATGAGTATGAGTATGAGTATAAGAGACGTAGAACCAGCCCCATTTCCTCTTGACTCTCGAACCCCGTACAGGCCTATGTTTACTTACGCCGATTTTTGTTCTTCCCCAGCAACTGCACGGCTTCACCCGTGTTTGCTGGGTGCGAATGTCCATTGCGTTCCGTACTGTCCCCTATTTGGGGCTCGAGAGCGAGAGGCGAATAGTTTTAATAGCCATTCCCGGGTTCGCCGAGCCTATGCTATACGCTTAGTGGGGTATGGAGGAGGGACGGGAAGGTGTTGGTTTTTGGGGGACAATTACGCCGACTTAAAACTAAGTACGACGCGGAATCCCCCTAGACCAGTCGATTAGTATTACTTCAAACATTTGGGATTACTATTTGGAGTTCGGGAGTTGTTATTTCGCTGCAGGGGTAAAGTTTCCTAGTCGAGGTCTTCGTCTTGTTCGTTATTGTCATTGCCCGTGTCCTCAGTCTTGATGCCAAAAACCATCAATAGATAGTTCAGTCGCTGGGTGTAACTTGTAGCTTTTGGTGTTTTTTTTTTTAATTGTTTATTGCCGCAGAAGTGCGAAATTTCTAACAATTTTTTTTATTATTAGTTATTGTGTTGCTCAAGCACGTTTTGTGGTAGAGTTTTGTCTTTTTTTTTCTTAAATTCCAAAATTAAGTAATGCATTTATTTATTAGTTAAACAAATGACAAGCGCAATTTTTCTGTTATCTAATGTTTACAAATCCAGTAGAGTTTGATTATTATGCTTTTTTTAAAACTATGTTAAGATTATATTATTAATGTGTTAGTTTATTCTGTGTGTCTAGTGTTTATTATTGGTCTCGTTTGGATTTGCCTTATTTGTTGTTGACAGCTTTATTGGTCTACGCAGTGTGCCTTTCTTGAGTTTTAAAGATATCGTCGTGTTTAATTTAAATTGCAGATTATGTGTTAGGTCATGAATATGCTTAAGGATACTTATCAAATTTTTTTGCGGATGGCCACCTCCCTTCTTGATTGACCTCCTTTGTTTGTCCAGTGTAAAGCATCCAATGACAGGTGGCACTTAACTCATTCATCACTTAACGCTTCACTCTTCATTGACCGTTGCACCATTTTAGTTTAGTTTAGTTTGCACTCTATGAAAATTGTTTGTTTCACTATAATTGCACATTTTAAAAATTATTGTTGGTTTTAGACTTTAACCTTTTACGTTTCAAGAGCACTCGCTATCGCGTGGTCCCTTCTCAAGTGCTGGAAGCTGACTGAAAGATAGTATTTATATTAAAATGAGATAAAAATCAAACATGACTAAAATATAACTTTGCTGCTCTACTTTTGTCCGATAGTGTACCTACAAGTGTTTTGTATAATTTAATTTATAGCTATTATGTTGTGTTGGCTTTGGAAATATTTTTAATTAGTTTTTTAATATTTTGTTTGTTTGCTTCACCTAAATGGGCTTTAAATAAGTAAACCAAAATAATAGGAATACATAGACCAATACCGTTTAGTTTAGTATATTTAGGTTTTATTATTTTAAATCATTAGATAAAAAACATTTTTTTTAGAATTCCAAGTTTTCGACCACTTACCCCTTGCAGTTTTTTTCGATATATTGGATTTAGGGGTGAATTCGCGAATAAGATCCGTATTTGTGATTTGATTGAAAAAATAATCGATAGCATTTTTGACAAGAAAAATTAGTTCTTCAAATTTGTATACCTAATATTTTTTTAAATATTTTGCATATTTAACGAGTAATACCCAGACAGCAATATGACGTCTTAATTAAGTCTGCATAAGCTCTATTTTATGATTTGGACGTCAAATACAACATCAGAAAGAAGTTTTTAAGAAGTTCTTAAGACTTCGAATGCGCCACCTATTGAACTAATCAAGACTTCTCAAAAAAGAACTCTTGAGGAACCCTTTTCTTTGACTTCGCAATTAAGCATTTTAAAGAGTCCTACTGTATAAACTTATAAAAAGACTTCTTTAGAATTTTCCGTTTTGGATATAGAAGTACTACTGAGGTACTGATGAAGAAATTGCATACTGGATCGTTGCTTATTTTGACATGTCAAGTTTATTTTATTAATTTTATTAATTTGTTAAATTGATTTTATTAAAATCATTTTAATAATTTGCTCGTATTCGCTTATTTTAGGAATTGCGATTACTTCGTCTCACTTTTGTTTAAAATTTAAACTTTAAATTCAAGCGTGCTCTTCACCGGCACCGATAGACGGCCTGTTTCGCTCTTTTGGAGCTCGTCAGTATCGGGTAGTCGTTTACCTAGGTCTAAGACCGTGGAATCCCAAAATTTAACAGCCAATTCTTATGTAAAATTGTCCCATGAATCCGAAAATAACGTAAAAAATTATGAAAGTGGATCAGTTTTTGAGATACTTATAGTCAATTTTCCATTTAATATTTAATAATTATAATAATACAGAAGTAAATAAATTAAGAAGGCTTTGAAACCTTTGTATTTAAAAGAAGTATCAGATTTGACAGTTAGTTAGTTTGTTTTGCTGGTATAAGTGAATATATTTTAACATTTTATCTTACTACAAAAATAAAATAAAATAAAAATAATAATTGAGGTGGTTAACCTAATTAGAATAATTTTTTGGTTTTAAATCTAATAAATAAAATCATTCAAATTAGGGAATATCTTGCAATAAATAAAAAGGAAATATGAAATTAAATAAAAATTTGTTATTTCTAAACATAATTCACATGCGCAATAGTTTCTGGACCTATTATAAGCCTACACTGTTTAAAATATCTGCGGTGTAAAGAGTAATCCTAAAATGGTGTCAAAATCCAACACCAAGTGGTGTTAATATAACACCATGAATTAGGGTTGAAAATGAACACCAAAACGGTGTTTATCTAAAAATTTTTGAGAAGTGCACCTACCCAGAAAAAAAGGAATAGTTCATTTAACCCAGTTGACCCATAAGTATTTATATTTTTGTGGATCACGTGATGTTCTTAAATCTCGCCTCTGTTGACTTACATGAAGAATATATAAACTAAGGTAATCCTTTGCTTTGGTGTGACACTATAAGTTGTTCGATAATAAAGAGACCTTAAATAGGTGGAAACAGCTGTCAATACTTAAAGTATTTTAAGTTAGTGGAACGCACTAAAAACATTATCTCTAGCGAGTCTGGAATAATACCACTGTTAATATACTAGTAATGCGTCAAGGAACTTCCTTTTTTTTCCTTTTTTCTGTGTAGTATGATAATTTGACCACAAACACATAATATTTAACACTGAAAAAGGGTTCAATTTACACCAGGTAAAATTTATTTTAATACTGTGTGAAAGTTAAATTAACACCATTTTAGTATTTGAATTTACACCGCCAACGAACCTTATTTAACACCATTTTAGTATTTGAATTGACACCGGACCAACGAACCTTATTTAACACCATTTTGGTTTGTATCGATATAGACCACGTATGGTGTTAATTTGGTGTTAAATTGGTCATGAAATTTTGAACAGTGTATAGGCTTAATACTTATTTCCCTTCCTGATAGAGCCTCAGTCAAAAAGAGTTTTGCGACTGCCTCACTCATATCTGTTAATAGTCAAAAATGAATTGGAATTGTTTGTGTTCTACATTTCTTAGAAATCGCGTTTTTATAAGTTTCTTGTTCATTCGATTCATTTAGGTATATAATCCTTTCTTTTTATTATTTTAACCAAAATTTACTTGGGTATATCTTTTAAGAGTAACATGCAAAAATATTTAGAATTTTATTCGGGTAAATAAAGCAAAAAGAAAAAATACGGGTCTCATCAATTTTGGCAAATAAACAGTAAAAACAAATTCGTTAAAAATTAACGACCTACCTCTTTATGCTTGGTCGATTTGAGATGGAAAGACCCCAAAGTGACTGACATCAATTTTCCCTAGGGAAAATAAAAACACCTTTACACGGTGTTATAAGTAAATAACTTTTAACACCAGTGTCTTAAAACGACACTTCACCATGGTGCTTGCGTTAAAAATTATAACTACCCTGCTGAAAAAGCCGGGTAATTGCAGGCATGTGCGGGAGAAAAACCAAGATGGTTTTACGTCCGGTTATATATGTTTTTTTGCCTGCCATGCCAGATTTTGCCCGCACGCCTGCTTTGCCGGGTGTAAATATCACCGGCAAACACCCGGCATTGACATTAATTATACAAAAGAGTATGCTTTCGCCTGATTTCACCCGCCTGCATTTTGATTTTCTGTTTTTGTCTGCATTCGCCCGGTTTCATCTGCTTTTACTCGCGAACGTCTGCTTTTATCCGCAAACGTCTGCTTTCACCCACGAACGTCTGCTTTCACCTGCAAACACGATTTCATCCTTAAACGCCTGCATTCGCCCGATTTCACCTGAGTTTGCGTGCATTTTCTTTTGTCTTTTTTCGTCCGGTTTCATCCGCGAACGTCTGTTTTTGCCTGCGAACGTCTGCTTTCATCCGCGAACGTCTGCTTTCACCCGCAAACGTCTGAATTTATCCGCGAAAGTCTGCTTTGGCCTACGAACGTCTGTTTTCATCCGCGAACGTCTGCTTTCACCCGCGAACGTCTCATTTTATCCGCGAACGTCTGGTTTCACCCGAAAACATCGGATTTCATCTGCGAACGTCTGCTTTTGCCTGCGAACGTCTGCTTTCATCCGCAAATGTCTGATTTCATCCGTAAACGCCTACATTCGCCCGATTTCACCAGAGTTTTCCTGCATTTTGTTTTTTCTTTTTTTGTACGATTTTATCCGCCAACGTCTTTTTTCATCCGCGAACGTCTGATTTTACCCGCGAATGCATTTTTACATCCGCCAACGTCTGCTTTGACCCGCAAATTTAATAAATTTCTTAAAATATTGTTACTCTATTTTGCGGTTTTCCTATAAAAATATGCATTTATATTTTTTTAATTACAAGTAAAACGCATATTTCATTCGGAATTTACGCCCGCAATCACCCGGCTTTTTCAGCAGGGTACTTTTACTCACAATTCATGTGTGAATTGTGTTTTTCTGATGTTTGTAGAAAACCAAGTTTTTAAAATGCATAATTATTATTAAATTTAAAATTATTCATATCTATAGATATATAGTATAGTATATATACTTAATAATAATTGGATCATTAAAAGTTACCTAACTATTTTAGGTGAGGTAAAAATACAACTAATTATTATTTTTGAATAAATATTTCGATACATAGGTAAGTATAAATACCTTAAATCTACTACATATTTACTGTATATAGACCGGTACAATGTGGCAAGTGAGCTTTTATCTGTGTTTAACATTTTTTTGTCTATCTTCTTTTGGTAGGTAAATATAATAATCATATAATAACTTATAATAAAAATTATACCAATTTTAGTTTCGGGAGGTATCATAACCCAAAATAGTAAGTTTTTTTGTAATTTTAAAAAATATTATGTTTAATTTTATTTAATTTAATTTTTTAATTTCATAATATAGTAAAATATGTCCGTACAGTGTGTGCCATAAAGGTTAAAACGGTGAATAAATTTCTTATTAAAAAATAATGTTTTTTTATAGTAAGTTGTGCAATTTCCTATTTACTAGTTGTAAAAAGTTGTTTTATAATTTTCGAAATAGAATAGAAGATAGGAAAATGTTTGCTATTATTTTGTTGTATTTTCAATGCTTAATTTGCCATTTTTTTAATAGGGTCCTGTAACCTTAATTTACCTGTGTAGCTATAGCCTATAGGAAAAACTAGTACATTTATTTACAAAAAACGAAATTACTACACTAATAAGCTCCAGTTTATCAATGTCCAGCTAAAGTTGCAGTTAGTTATCTGGTAGATAATTTCCATGGTTACCATTGTTCTCGTTCGATCTATATGGAATTTAACTGTCAGGTAGACTAACTGGAACTTAACCTGAGATTGATAAACTGGCCCTAAGGAACTAATTTTTGTAATTTTAGAGAATAATCAAATCTACAGATGTACAAAAGTTACTAAACAACAACAAAATTTATTACCCCCAATTTGAAAACGTAGAGCATAACTTTATATAAAAAAAATATTTTTTTTTTAGAAATCTACAATTTGATTTTTCCCAATCTTTATGTTACATTTTAAATTATTATTATTTATTTTTAGCTTGCGCCAATGCAGAGACAGATTTATATTACTGCGAATATTTCGAAAAAGGCACTGTTCTTAGTATTTATAAAGGGGGTACGTTTTGGGGACGAAAAAATAATGACACTTGTGCTCCTATAAGAAAAAATAAATATGTTAAACCGAAAAATTGGAATTGCACTCTAGATATCGTCGATTTATTGAAGAAAAAGTATAATAAATAAATTTTATTATGAATTTAATTATTTACATTAAATAAAACTCATTTTTAGATGCGATGGAAAAACAAGTTGCCAATTTCAGTCATCAAATGAGTTTTTTGGGGGTGATCCTTGTCCTGGGGATCGTAAGTATTCCGCCGTTGCCTACGAATGTATAAAACCTTCGGAACCAACCACTCCAACTCCCACGGAACCTCCGGAAGAGGTGGTTCATGGACCCACGGTGTGCTACACAAATTTTATACGCATAAATTGCGGCCAAAAGAAAATTAAGACCAACAAAGTTTTCTTTGGCAGAGGCGATAGCTCCACGTGCGTTTATGGATACGGATACTTTGGAGGTTATTTTAACTTCAAATGCGATGCAAGTGAGGTCGCATACAAGTACATTCAACAAAAGTAAGTAATAAGTTATATAAGGTGGGATGCAGAGTTCTGTCAGTATTGAAACACCCAAGCGGCACACAGTCAATTTTTGCGATAAATAATTTGCTATATAACAGGTTATAAAAATGCCATTAAGGAATATAATGGGCAAAAAATAATATCATTAAAGTGACAGTCTGACAAATAAAGTTGAATCAAGATATGACTGTATTCAGAAAAAAATCCTGTAGGCTATGGCTTGTTCTTGTTAAAGCCACAAATATGCATATTTTTTCGTTTTGTAGTAGTTTCCAGTCAAAAATTTATTGTTTATCATTTTCTATGAAGCTATCTCTAGTCGCTTGTTTTCAAGGTAAACTGATAAAGGATATTTCCACGAAAGCTTACTTCACCTTGAAAAAAATCAAATGTGTTATTTAACAAAATAACAACAATATCTGGTCAAATAGTTTAATTCCGACGTAATTTATAACCTTAAAATATTCGTACATTGTGATGCTAAGAAGCTAACATTAAGAATAAATACGGAAGAGCTTCAATAGTCGATAAAATGTTCAAATGTCGCACCCGTTACATTTTCGGAAAATTTTAGAAAGTAAAGTATGCAATTTTTGTGCATTTAAAATACGTGCTTGTTTAAGGTTACTATTCAAGTGTTACATAAAAAATTATTACTTTATGCTTTCATCCAAAATTTTACAGTATCAACTTTAGAAGCCAACTTGGTCGCATTTGCCGATTCTCTAAGGTCGCGCCCGTTACGCTATTCATGACGTTATAAAAGGTTTTCTATACAAGTTTTTATTGACAATTTGTTTGAGTTAAATACCTAATTTTTTATACTATTTTCTTATATCTTGATATCTTGATATATATGAACAAACACTTTATTATTATGAAAAAACGCAGTTTTAGTATCGCACCCGTTACAATGGAAATACCCTAAATTACCCTTCAATCGGTAAAAAGGCCCAAAGCCTTTTTTGACACTTTTGTAAATTATAATTGTATCTTAGTAAGCGCTTACTAAGATAAAATTATAACTCACAAAAGTGTCAAAAAGGGCTTTGGGCCGTTTTACCGATTGAAGGGTAATTTATCAGTTTACCTTGACAACACGTGACTAAAGATAGCTTTAAAGGAAATGATAAATAATCAAAAAAACGAGGTGCTGAAATAACTAACACAAGTTTTATTTTAATTCTAGCATTCGTTGGCTTACACACCATACGAAATTAAAAAAATTATATTCAATGGGGTAAATAGTAGATTTAAATTCAGCAAGCAAAAATACATAAAAAATATTTTTTTCTTTTTGGTTTCAAAAGTAGACCGATATTTGTTAACCTGTACAATTATTCCAACTTTTATAAAACTTGTCATTTCTTCAACTATGTTTTTTTGTGCAAGGCTTCTAATGAATACAATTTTAGATGCGATGGCCAAAATTATTGCGATATATGGAATATTGTGGGATCTGGTGGTGGTGGCGTTAATGCAAATTTAAGTGGAGGTGGCCATGTCAATGGAGGCGGTAATGCGATTGGAAATATCAATGCATCTGGAAGTGCTCAAATAAGTTGCACTCCCGCCCAATTACCTTATTTAAAAATAAGTCATCAATGTGTTAATTAATAATTATTTTTCAATGTTAATGTAAAAATGCTGTTAAAGATTGTTTTTTTAGTTAAAGATTGTTTTTTTAATTATACCAAACTACAACAGTATTTAATAATAAACTTTTATTTAATTTCCATAGTTCTTTTCTGCCTTCCTTTTTGAAAACCAGGGGTACTACAGTGCGTTCCACGATATATTTGCGGCCTTAGGAATGTGATGTAGGTAGCGTTGGGAAAATTTCACTTGAAATTTTCATGACATTTATGAAATTTATTAAAATTTCCTAAATTTCATGAAATTTATGAAATTTATTGAAACTATCAATAAATTTCAATCACTTTAAGTGTAATATATTAATATTGAAATAAGCCCACTCGGGGACCATGGCAAATTGCCTCTTTTACCTCCTACCCCTCTGTGGGCTCCTGCACCAATAATATAAATAGTAAATACCTATGTTTACCACAAATTTCTTGAGATTTCCTTTTAAAATATTTTTAAAATTACTTAAAGAGATATGCACTTTTTGGTAAGCTAATGAGATTGTTTTATATTTATATATATTTATTATTTTTAAATATTTTACTGAAATTTTACGAAAATTGAAGAAACTTCATCAAAATTTTATGAGCCAAAGGCATTTTTTATCTGTTTTCCGATGCAATTATAGCAAAAGTTTAAATTAATCATGAAAAAATTTTAAAGTCTGATTTAATTTACAAATTAAATTGGTAACTGAATTAAATTATTTAAATTAATTTATGCATATAAGTAACAATAATTACTTATAGTGTATTCAAATCCAAGCCGAACTAAACAAAAACGCCCAGACGCTTGATAACTCGTTCTTATTGTCCCAGGAGAGGCCGCATGTGAAATTTATGCGAAATTTTCAGTAAATTGCGAAACTTTCAATGAAATTTCTGAAACTTTCACAGGCAATGTTGAAATTTTCAGAGTGAAAATTTCTTTCGAAATTTTTAAAAATTTCACTTTTCCAACTAAATGAAATATTTCAAGTTTGAAACTTTCAAAGTTGAAATTTTCATTTAAAAATTTCAACTGTCCCAACCCTATACAGCGGTGAGAAGAAAGTAATCGCATTAAAATGTCATAAATGTGACGTCTCCATCTTGACTTCTAAAAGAGTTAATAGTATGATTTCAATTGGAAGTAAGAAAAAAGAAGGCTCTGTAAGCTCAAAATAAATTGTTCAAAAAGAGGTCAAGAAAAGATCTTCATTTGTAAAAAAATTGACTTCTTATTTATGAGTTCATTAACAGCTTAGAATTCTGAGCTCATAAAAAGGAGCTTTTTAAGACGTCATGTTAGAACTTCTACACGAAGTTGTTTAAAAGACTTCATACTGAAATATTTCTGAATTGGATGCTGACTGGGATACCAATTATTTAAGAAAAAAGGGTTTGACATTTTTTCATTGGCGCTATAAATATAAAACGTTTAAAATATTTAAGTTTTTATTTTTAAATATAACCTATATAAAATACAGTTTTATTACTGGAGTAATACATGTAGGATAGTTTTTAAAAAATATGACAAAATGACACAATATTAAAAAACGGACAAATAAGAATTATTCTTCCAATTTGGATTTTATCCAGCTGGTTATAATATCAAGTCCAACTTGGTTTGCATCATAGTAAGATAACTTTTCCATTTCCTTTATCCATCCAGCAAGTTTGGGGAATTTTGTTTCATCTATTGGTACCATAACGTTACAAGTTGTAACGGTTGCTATAATAGACAAATCTGCTATTGTAATATTGTCACCGGATACGAATTTAGTTTTCTCCAAATAATTTTCCAAAAATCCGTAAGCTTCTATCAGGTCGTCGCTCCATTCTTTTAAAATAGTTTTGGCTCCATGAAAGTAAATGGCTCTCTAAAAATTTATATATCAACAGACAATGTAGCAAATTGCTTGTCCAGCATTTTTTCCACATTTTTAGTTTGGTTTAAATTAAAAGATACCTTACCGTTATAACCAACATTCGAGGAAATAAAATTCCATTATCAAAAAATAGACGTTGATCGACTAAAGCTCTGGGCTGGGGTTCTTTTGGATAAAGAGATTCATCTTTTCCATATTTATTTACCAAGTAAGTCATAATTGCATGGCTGTCCCATAAAATAAATCCATTATCATCCAGAGTTGGAACAGTGTGTTGAGGATTTATCTATAAGAAAGATTTCAGAAATATTGCAATTTTTGCTTTCTGGAGTATTTTCAAAAAGGTTTTAGAAACAATTGAACCGTTATTAATTATTTGAAATCTTTTGAAAAGTTTTATAAACAGAGATTTTTTGGCAACTCTGCTCAGCTGCAACTGAGCAGAGTTGCAAAAAACGCATTGTTTTTTTTTAATGCAATGATATTTTATTGCTCATTTTTATCATAATGAATAATGAAATTAATTTACATTACTCATTGTTTTTTTTTAATGCAATGATATTTCATTGCTCATTTTTATCATAATGAATAATGAATTTAATTTACATTACTCATTTTTTTTCGTTTAATGGAGAATTACTTGTACATTTCTCATTTTCAATTTTTAATGAGTAATGTAAGAATTTACATTACATTTTTATTTTTAGTAATGTGGATTTATTTCATTACTCATTTTTTTTAATGGGGAAAAATGAGTATTTCATTGCTCATTTTCAACAGGTAAGGAAATTATTTTTTGTTGTAGATAACATTTATTTTTTATTTTTCGCACGATTTGCATTGGATATCATAATAATATACGAAATATTTGGAACTAATGTGTGGGTCCAGCCAAATTGATTTTTAAATGTATACAGGGTGTTACCAATATCTTTGAATATTGACCTGATACAGCTAAACCAAGCACGGATTTGTACTCTAAGACCAAAACTTAAGTTTACGTGTCCGAGCGTTTAGCTGTGATATTTTCACCTCCCTACAGTGTTATTATTTGAATAACAATAAAAAAGTCGCAGTACAGTGTAAAAAAAATTGTGGAGTAAATGCGGAGTGGATTTTTAATTGATTCAATCTAACCAGAATTAAAATACGAGAAGGATTTATTCGATATTATTAATAGAATAGAATTATTTATTTATTGAATAAAGATAAAAAATAATTGTTAATTGTTTAAAAATTATAAAATGCATATTTAGAGATTTTTTTAATTAAATTTGACATAACTTTTTTAAATTTTTGTCATAATTTGAATTTTTATGAAAATTTGATTTTTTTTAATTTTTGGAAAATTTAAATTTTTTTTATTCGATTTTTTTGAAAATTTTATTTATTTTGGAAATTTTTTTTTTGAATTTTGAATAATTGTCAAAATTTGAATTTTTTTCATTTCGACAAAAAAGTTTTTCCAAAATTTGATTTTTTTATGCTGACGAATGTAATGGGTCATTACACAAGTAACATTTGTGAATATATTAACTGAAATCAGTTAATCAGTACTCATGCTTATTTTAAAAAACGCTTCCAGCAAGAAACCAGACATCTAAGGAAATTCCAAAGCAAATAGAAAACAAAAAAAATACAATTAAAAGTAGTCACAAACACGTATCCCTCTGTAGAAATTCTATACCATTGTCTTTCAGCTTAACCCAAAATAATTTTTACCTGCTCGAAAACCAGTTTAATATAAAAATCTTTATTTAATTTAGTTTAATTTTCTACACAAAAAGCACTAACTTTACCTTTAAAAACTCTGGCTTCAAGTGTTCCTGCTCCAGCAAATTTACAGTTTGCAATTCCAGATCTAAGTCTATGGCACGAGCACATAGTTGTACAGCTCTAGCAGGTGGACTTGGCGGAATCAAATATAATTTTGGAGCCATTGCACTTCTTTGTTTCAAGCCGGTTGGCACAAAAATAACTTGAACTGAAAACTGCACGCGGTGCATCGCCTTAAATTTGGTCAAATTATTAACATGTCAGGACCGCATCTACTTGGGCAGGGGCAGATACCAGTGGCGGCTCGTCAGGGTAGGCCTCTAAGATAGAGGTCTCGTTATTGATACGATCCTCGTATCGATACGGTATCGTATTATTTTATCGATAATATCGATACGATAAATTTTTTTTTTCAAAATTTCTGTTTGATTTTAACTGAAATATAAAATATGTAAGACCCTTAACAAATAAACACGAGACGTTCAAAACCAAAAAAATATATTTTTATTTATGGATAATATAAAACATATTTTTCAAGTCCACTAAAATCTACTAAACCGACTAGAAAATTTTACTTAAAATCAATCTTCATAGATTGCGCCAAAGTTGTGTCTAGAGGTGAGTGCCAAAAAATTTATTTTACGAGTTTGTTTTTACTTTAAACAAAATCGTTAAATAACAAAAACAAACATCGGTTTCTTATGCAAAAATTGGTAGAAATAACGATACCTAGAAGTATATCGATACAGGGTTTTTTAGTACGCGTATCGATATCGTATCGATATTTCGTATCATTAACGAGATCTCCACTCTGAGGCAGCGCCTCACCCTTAAAATAAAGGAACGAACGACTTTTTGTATTTAGATTTTTGCCTATTTTTACAACAGTTCTACCCAATAAAAAGTAAAAAACCAATCAATCATACTAAGCGTAAATAAAAATCCAGGCGCAAAGCGCGTCAAGGTAGGTAACGTGCATCGTTGAGAGTCGCTAGGACAGAGGCGAAATTTTCACAGCCTCGGAAGCTCCCATTTACATCAAGAAAGCGAAACTGACACCAACAAAAATATCGCCGGAAGTTCGCGAATAAATACCGTAGATTCAGTCGTAGATGACGCGAAATTTAGTTAGCTTGGCTTGTTCTGATTGGTGGTTTTATCACATGATCGATGATAATCGCTTGTGGGGGTCCGTCTATGATGGGATGCCAGCAGTGCTGCCGTTCTAGTACATTTTTGCTTGAATTTTCATGAAAAGTACGAAAGTATATTTATCTAAAAATAACATGATTTACAGTACATTTTATAAAATTTTACTAAAATGGTAGGTATACATTACAGAACTCTCAAAATGAGGGTTTTCGAAAATGTTTAAAGTTATTTATTTTATGTTTTATATTTATAATATAGTTTAATACATACTTTGTTGATTTTTTAAATTTATATTTTATTATTTATTAATTTATAAGTAAAATAATTGTTTTTATCAACCCCCCCCCATATTAATTACAATAATAATAATATGTTTGGTGCCAATGACCTCAGCAGTCAAATCACCTTAATTATTAATTTAATATATAAAAAAATGATATACAAAAAAATATTAAAAATAAATTAATGGTAATAGCACAGCATTTTAGGATAAATTTGGTTATAGTACATTACAGTACATTTTCACTGACAAATTTGATTAAAAGCTCGCGGCAGCACTGGATGCCAGTGTTCTCTTAGCGTTTGTAGAGCATGTTATTGTTTTGATTTTGATTAAATTATTTAAAACTTTTGGCTGATCTTTTATAGTTTTTGTCTCGATTAATAAAATTTCTTATTTAATTATTGTACGGAACTAAGGTAGATTTAACAGTTTTTATTAAGCAAATTTTATATTTTGAAATAATAGATTGCATAATTCTTTAATTAAAGACGCGGTTTGAAAATTTAGAATTACTTTCAAATCTCACTGCAGACCCACAAATTTACGACCAAAATTTATTTAATAATAGATAAATTTGCAAACTTAAAAGATAGACGTATAGATTTAATTTACCTAAAGTAGCTATAGTATTTTATATTTTTTAATACTTAGGTAGGGGTCGACTTTTAGTTTTATTTTTATTTTTTTATTAATTTATTTATTTTTAACTTTTTTAAGAATATATTTTTAAGTTTTAAGATTAAAACCGTAGTGACTATAGCATCACTGCCTGGTTGATAAATCTTAAAATGTGCTATGTTAAATTTCCTTTTTTGTTTTTTTTTCAGGTCTCGAGTGCCACTTACATTTGTGATTTGATCAGGGTCGAAAATAGATATTCCGAATTTTATTGGTTCCGGATGTTTAAGACCTCACAAGTATGGATTCTTACCTTCTAAAGTACATTTAAGCATGTAAAATAAAAATTGGCACCATTTTGAAGGTTTGAAGCGCTTTCCATAGATAAATTTTATAAATTATTTAATAAATTTTAAATATAAAAAAATGCATTCTGCAGCTCTGGGGGGTAGGGCGATCCACCCTTGTACTTAGGGGGCTCTATAGATAACTGTAGCAAAGAAAACTTTAAAAAGCGATTGTTCTAGAACAGTCGTAAATATACAGGGGGTCCCAAAAGTCAAAGATATCCTTTGAAGGACTAATAGGTCAGCTCATGACTAATCAGAATATCAAAACATGACCATAGTAAAAAATCATTAGTTTTTAAGATATTGGCATTTTTATGAATTTTTGTGAAACTTGACACATAAAATCAGTTTTTCGAGTTCCACAACTAAAATATTCTATATTCTTAGATTATACTTTATTTTGCGTAACCCTGAATATATTCTATAGGACTGCTATTAATTACAATTCAAAATTAAATTAATAGTAGATTTTGTAGCTGTGGCACTCGAAAAACTGATCTAAGTCTACAAAATTCATAATAATGACTATACTTATCTAAAAAAACGATTTTTTACCAAGGTCAAATTTTGATTTTCTGCTTAGTCATGAGTTGGTCTATCAGTCCTCCAAAGGATATCGTTGACTTTTGGGACACCCTGTATAAAATATTATTTTAACGTTCGGGCTCCTTACTTTATTTTCTCAGGCATATTTAAGGTCTTAAAAAGGCTAGTTTTATGATGTTTTTATTTATACATGACTGTTCTCAACTAATAAAATTTAAATTTACTTTTGCAGCAACAATATATTGTGACTAAAAAGTTAAATAATAATAATAAATCGTTTCTGAAAATTCACTGCCATTAATTGGAAATATTGAACAATCCCGACTTCGAGAACTTTTATAATGGTATTAATACTGAGTGGATATTTTCCAAATGAGCCTACGATTTTTGACGTTGATAGTTTCTTCATTAATATCAAGTCACGTTATAAAATTTGTTGAGAATAATTTATCTATGGCGCGCCGTTTTAACATTTATTAGATAATATTTTCAAACAACAAAATTTCCAATTTAAATGTTTTGTAAAAATAATTATCAATGTAACATTTCTACAAAGTTGAAAAAAATGGTACTTTAAAAATTGTTTGTTGCTAAAATGCAACTATAAAAAATTATACTTAAAAATATTCAAATCACAAAATATTGTATAAAAATGTTAATTATTAAAACTTACCGCTCTAATTTTTTAAAGAAACATTTAAATGCAAAGTGATAAATGTTTAAGACAAAAATTATTGGTTCAAATTTGTAAGCAATCATAAAATAATTTAATTAATAAATTTTTAAAACAAAATTTATCACTTTACATTAAATGTTTATTTAAAAATTTAAATCGAAAACTTTTGCTGACAAAAATTATCGGTTTACATTTTTTAAACAAACAAACAAATATTTAAATTTTTAACACAAATTTTATCGGTTTGCATTTTTCTTAACTACGTGCGATTGAAAATTTCCGCACTGTTTGATAGAAAAATCATTATATGAACTATTATTTAAAAAGAATATTGAGAAATAAATGCAATAAGCAATAACCCTTTTTATATTATGCTATTCGTCATTGTTGCTAAATTATTTAATTTGTTAATAAACAAATGCGATTTGACCCTAATTTGATTTTTTTTTCCAGTACCTACAGAGAAGTCTGAATGCTTAAGATTCAAAAATCATTTCAACTTTTTTGTGCTTTGGGTTAATGAGACATTATATTGTTTGGGGCCGCGCGCAACTGGTGCACCGAGGTAAACTGAAATTTTAACACCATATTTTTGTGGTATTATTCTTGATCCTGTACAAATTTTAATTTAAGTGGCTCAGGGGCTGCGATTTTATAAGGGTTTAAATGATTAAAATCTTGCTAACAAATATTTAAATATGGTAATAATTATAATTAATTTGAAGCACCAAAGTAGGTAGTTTTAAAATTTTATAAAGATGCACTAAATAGTTTACAAAATAATTATTCCCGGATTTTTATAAAATCTTTGCCCAAATTATCTTTATTATTAATGAAGGTCCAATTGGAATGACAAGGTTCTAAGTGCAGCCTTATCTGCAATATAACCTCGAAAACCGATGATGGTTGGAAAACACAACAAAGTAAATAAAAAACGAAAAAAGTTATTGTTGCAAAAAGGAAATGGAAATGGATTTGTTGGCGAAATAAGTAAGTAGATACCAAGGAAGATGACATTACGGAGTCAAAAACCTTCAAACTCAAGCGAAAAACTTGGCCTTTATTGGTGTTTAATGAGAGTTACTGGCCAACATTTTTTTAGAAAAGAAAAAAATACCAAATCCAATTCCAGATGGAGAAATAAAAAAGAAAATTTCTCAAGTACTTGTGTGTCTTGGAAAGTTCAAGAACTTGCAAAATAGTCTGCCTAACGGCAATCAGAAATACAACTAAAACAAAACAACATACAAAATTTTAAATTTGTGTCAAGTTTTTGTCAAAATGTAGGAGATCACGGTTGTGTAGCCATTCATAGTGAAAGTCAATTACAGGGTCTTGCTCGCGGAAATATGTGGAAAAAATGTCTGAAGCTTATTTTTTTAAGTGTGCGGTCTTACATTTTAAAGTAGAAAATGATTGATAAAATATTGATAATTTACTTGTTAATTATTATATAATATCGATATTAAAAGATAACTATGCCAAAAATAATATCAGATTCTAGTAAAAAAGGTTAAAGAACTTTTAAGGGCAAAACTTCATTTTGAAGTAGAAAATGATTGATAAAATATTGATAATTTACTTGTTAATTATTATATAATATCGATATTAAAAGATAAATATGCCAAAAATAATATCAGATTCTGGTAAAAAAAGGTTAAAGAACTTTTAAGGGCAAAACTTCATTTTGATGAAGTTTTGCCCTTGAGGCTTAATTGCAGAAAAAGTACAACGCCTTAGGGACATTTTTGGAGTAAAAAAGTAACGTTTTTGGTTTACAAATATTAAATCACACATTATTTTCACCTAATTAGCTGAGCTTAAGCAGATTCAATTTTTTTGAAATTTTAAAAAATAAGGAGGAAATAATAATTGGACAACATTCACGTGTTTCGCAAAATTTTAATTTCCTTTATATAAATTCTTTTCAAAACGGAGATAATTATCCGCTAGGAATACTTTGTCTCTCCTGGGCCGTAGTCACCTATATTTAACTAGTTTTTTTATATGATTTTACTCATCCAAGCACCACCAAAGCCAAATTAATTGCATTTTTAACTACGAATTTCGACAACTCAACTTGACAACTGCACAATGTAACCTACAATAATTAATACATAACCACAATTAGATTTATAACTAGCTTAGTTTGTTTTAATCAATGCGACTAACTTGACAACTGTATTTACCAACCAAAACCCTAAATTTGCAACGTTGCCGCTGTCCAGATAAAAAAAATAAACTTTATGTGCTATATGTGCTATACTGCCCTACTATGGAGAAAGGCAGTAACTACAAAAAAATTCTTAATGCGTTTTCTTGTGCTATGATAAAGCTATGGACATTTTGTATCTTAATTCAACTAAGAAATGCAGTAAACTATCTCATAAGTTAAATAAATCAATTAAATATCTACTGCTTTTTATAAAAATTTTGTTTATGCCAATTTTCCTCAGATTTCTTGTTTAGCAGTTACTGCCTTTCTCCATAGTTGGGCAGTATATGTGCTATATTATCTGCCAAATAAAATAGTGTAAAAAACTCTGTTAAAACTTTTAAAGGCAAAGTTTGTGAATTCCTAGTAAATTTAGAACCATATAATCTAAATGTGATGTAATTTTCTTTGGTTTTTGATCCTATCAACATGCATCCTAACATGTGTTCAAATTTTATGAAGATAAATTTAATTGTTCAAAATAATGTACTTCTCAAATTACTTTTACATTTTTTTAAGAAATTGCCGCTACTGATTAATAGCACGATATTGAAGGTTAGTGCTCATTGGATATTTTTTTAAATAGAAGAGAGATAAGTATATTTTATCAAACGATTCATAAATTTTTAATCGTTGTAATAAACAAATAAATGATTGTTCAAAATGTTTATAAAGTGACTTGCATTAATACCATGGTATTAATAAGTGGATTATTTTCTACTACTTTAACTTGAAGTCTTTAAGTTTTCATTTAAACTTTCTACTCACTACTTTAATATTTAAATAAAATCCTTAGTAAACAAACATTTATAAAAATATAAAGCTAAATAATTATTACAAAATTTTGTAGGTGTGTATTTTGTATAGGTAGGTATACCTCATAAACCACTAAAAGATATCCGTTTTAAGACATCAAATGTCCCATAAAACCTTTAAAATCGTTCAACCCATCAACGTTAACCTCAAAAAAAGGTAATTCGGAAATTTTATCCATCCAAAAACAAACATTCTTGTATTTTTCCTTATCAATCGGCAAAAATGTATTTATCGAGGCTGTTGATGAAATCAAACTTATGTCCGCTAGGGTAAGTGTATCTCCAGCCACAAATTGTTGATTTTCTAAAAATGTATTCAGAAAATTTAAAGCTTCGTTTACGTTGTCAAGCTGTTCTTGGGTAATTGTCTTTTGTCCTTTAAATAACATTGATCTCTGAAAAAAATAAATAGTTCCGGCCGAAATTCAGAACTTAAAAAAAAACTTACCACAATATGCCTGATGGTGGGAAAAACTACACTGCCTTCAAAATGGAGTCTCTGATCTACCAATGCTCTTTTGGCAAAATCTTTAGGGTATAAGGAATCATCTTTTCCATATTTTCTTGCTAGATATGTAATAATTGCATGACTGTCCCAAATAACAATCTCTCCGTCCACTAAAGTTGGAAGTGTATGTTGAGGATTTAACTGAAATTCAAAACATATAAAAATTTAATCGTCAATATTCTTTTTAGCAAAAAACGAACGTTAAATTAAGATGTTTTACTTACGATCGTTTATCACTATTAAATAACTAGACTTTGCTCATTTAAACATTAAAAGAAATCTTAACCTAGTTTCCTAGTTTAAAAACTTACCTTTTTAAATTTTTCAGACAAATGTTCTCCCTTGCCCATGTCCACTAATTTCTTGTCAAGATCTATTCCCAAAATTTCAGCCGTCATAATAACAGCTCTAGCTGGAGGACTTAACGGCGTATAGTATAAACTAATACCCATTTTTATAACATATATTTTTAAACGTAGTAAATGTGTTCTTCAGCGGTCGAGTAAACACTATTAAATGAAAGAGATCGTATACTGACTGCGACCTTGCGGTTATTTTTATAAAGAGACCGGATTCCAAACAATATGCCCATTTAGGTCAATAAAATTAATTGGTGAAAAAGGTTTTATATTTTGTTAGTACCTATGGAGTTTTTAATTGATCTCATATACATTGAAATGTTAAAGGATACATATAGAATCAAACATAGATTTATTATGACTTGTAATTATTTATTAATATCTTATTAGTATCATATTTTTTCTTGGGTAACATCCTATTACTAAAATTTAATTTTTTTAAATCATTCATTTAAATCAAACAAAAATACCCTATTGTAAATGACCGATAGAATCCAATAAAAAATAAGTAATTGGTTTGAATTGGTTTGAAATGTGTTTTGGCGCTATAAATCACCAATGCATTCCAGTTGCATTCCTATTGGTAAGTTCAAATGAAGTCAGCGGCTTAAATTGGAATATACCAATCCATGCTTGTCTCTATTGGCTAAATCCAATAGAAATGCACCTGGAATGAATTGGTAATTCATAGCGCCAACCCATCCAAACCAATTTATTTTTTTAAATTTGGATTAAAAATACCAGTTGATTTTTTATTGAAAATTAATTAAGATCCCAGAAGAATAACCGGGTAAAAACCAGAATTCATTTTTCACTGAAGAGACAATAAAATTATTATAACTGAGTAACTTTATTTATTTATTATTTTTTTGTGTTACACTGAAAATTTTTATTTAAAAATTTTTACTACTACGTAATTGTAGTATAGGTTCAGTAGAAAATAAAAAGGCAAAATGTTTAATATACATTTACGATGCGTAAAGAAAAACTAAGCATTCATCTAGTAATACTGCAACAAAAATGTTGCCTAAATTAGTATGAAATAATACATGCTTTAGTATTAATGGTGACCTAAAACCCTTAATATATAACAACAGGAAAAATGTCAAATATGTAACAGTAGTTATAGTAGGCTTAACTAAAACAGATCCTATTTAAAAGTATTACAAAATGCTGCCAAACTAATACCACATCCAGGGCCGTAGCGACGGACTCAGGGGCCCCGGTGCAAAACTTTACACAGAGAGAAAAGACTCATTTATTATTACAAAATATAAGTTACGAACACATTTCTTTTTAAGTACCATAAAGTTATAATTTTTAAATTTTGAAATATAATAAATAAACTTTTTGTTTAATTGGTAAAACATGATGAATTCCTAGAACTTAATTATTGCCTCAAGATAAGATATCTCTAATTTTTTAATAAATAATATAGAATAGATTTTAAACACACGAAGGTGTTTTGCTGGTTGATGTCTTGGTTATTAACAAAAAAAGAGTATTAGGTAATAATTTTGCGGTTATTTAAGAAGTTATATGAATAATAGTTAGCTGTCATGGTTTAAATTTATTACACTGGTTTAATATCAGTAATCTTACAATAACTACAGAATATTACACTATGAGGTAATAGTTAACTTATCGGGTAATAATAAATCTACGAAGAGATGACTCGTAGACGTTTTTATTATTATTATCCAAACAGATTTCTTAATACTTATTATTATATATTATTTATTGCTATAGCATGGTGTTATATGTAATAACTTATTACTATTTACTAATAAGATTTATTTATACCCAATAAACCACTGGAGTGGGGATAAAAAATATGCCGCATAGGCTATGCGAGTTTCGATTAGTTCAGTTAAGACTCTTAAGAGATTTAGTCGATTCCCATCATAGAATAGTAATAGTTGCACCATTAAGTGGAAACGTTTTTTTGTGTGCAAATTATGGAAAATTCCAAGGCAGATTGTCAGGAACTCTTAACTAAGTGTACTACTGTAAAGAATATCACTCCAGTGGCATTGCACAGAAACGGCAGTTATGTTTTCTTGGTAAAAAAATACTAAAAGTAATATTTTTATGAAGAATAATGAAATCATATTTTGTTACCGGAAGCTCATTATACATGAGTGGTAACCAGTGTTGCCAACTTGCGGAAAAACAATAATCGTACGGAAAACCAAAAAAAATCGTATTTTAACTTTAAAAATCGTACACCACTTTTTATCAAATAAAAGTTTTATTTGATAAAAAGTGGTGTTTAATTTTTACAGTTAAAATACGATTTTTTTATAAAACAGAATTAAAATTTAAAAATATAAAAAAAAAATAATTTTAATTTAAGTTTTTCGTCCTGGTATTTAAATTTATTGTTTAAAGTTAAGAAATTTCAAATACTTAAAAATATGTGTAATAAACAATGGTTTACCTACTTACGATACGTCCGGACGTAGGACGTAGGACGTAGGACGCGTCCTATCCTATCCTGTCTGTTTATCAAAGGCGTTATTCAGTGTGATAGAAACAAGTTATTCTTTGTAAAGTCATTTTATTAGGTACTACAAAAAAAAGAAACTTAAGTCATAGAACGAGGAACATCAATATTGATGAAGTAACTGGTCAACCTATTGATCTTAATTTAATTTTTCAATTTGCAAATAGTATTTCTTCTTCATCACCTCTATTTGTATTGTTACTATAAATCTTCATCACGCGCAGCGCCAAACCGCTGGCGAATAAGTTCTGCAAACCAGTTTTTTTTGTAGATGCAATAAAATACTTTTTACAGGTGGTGGAAGAAACATAAAATGGTATTGGTCATAGAAAACCCCGAAGGGGTAAATTTTATTTTTTCACTTCTTGTTGGCAGCACTGAAAATCTAAACATGATCGCAATGTTGCCTAATTCATTTGTGGGGCAAAATAATTCGGTTTTCAAAGATGCAACTAAAAATAGTAAATTTATTAATTTTCGAAAATACAAAGAACTCCTTTAAGACAAAAAATCGTATTTATGCGTACGATTTGACATAATGAATCGTACATCGTACCGACATGAAGATAATCGTACAAATACGATTAAAATCGTACGGTTCACAACACTGGTGGTAACTTCGGATTTTTAGTCAGTTCTAAAAGGATTTTTTTATTTTTATATACCGGGCTCGGTATATACCTACGGATATATAGGGAGCCCGGTAAATAGAAATAAAACAGGAAATATAAAGCATTAAAAAAATAAAAATTAAATTCTTTTAGAACTATTATAGTTCTAACTATAAATCACTGATTTGAAATCAGAAGTTACCACTCATCTTTAATGAGCTTCCGGCAACAAAATATCACTACATTCTTTTTTTTTTAAATATTACTTTAATTATTTGTATTTTTATGTAGGTACTCATAGGTATAAGCTTACTCTAAATGTATTCATTTTTCAATGGCGGCTGGTGGATTTTGGCTATACCGATATCTTAGTTGGTGTGGGTCCCATGTCTTATAACTAAGTATCGGTATACCCAAAACCCCCCAGGCGCCACTTTCTTTTTTTTGTTCTGTTACACCTTAAATATTTTTAAACTTTTTTCAAAAATAAATTTTCTTATAAATACACACTTTTATTTATTACCTTATACAATCGCACTGTTATAAATACATGCTATACTAATAATCATACATTTCTAATAGTTAAAATATGAATTGATAATTGCAATTAATTAAAATATTTATTATTATTTCTCGCATTATAATAAACACCTATTGCCTTTTTAATACAAAGCTCTTGTGGATGAAGTATTACCTTAAGTTCATTTACTATAAATAGGCTTTTCTAATATAAAGCGCCTGTGGATTAAGTATTAAGTGAAGACCAATTACTATAAGAATACTTTTCTAACATAGCGTTTTTTTTATTAATAGCTAACTAACTAATGTTTTAACTGTTACCGAACTAACTTTTATTAACAAATAAATATGATATACTTTAAGATGTGTTTACTATAAACCCATATGAGGTCGGCAAAATACAATGCTACGTTAAGGTGAATATAAACCTATTACGGTGTTTACAACCACTCCTTTCTCTCTGTGTAGGATAGGATAGGATATCGAAAATTACGATTTTTTAGTAAAACTTTTTAGTTTTGGGGGCCCCTTTGAGGTCGGGGGCCCTGGTGCACCGCACCGCCTGCACCAGCCTCGCTACGGCCCTGACCACATCGTTAATTTATAAACAACTCAGACAGATATTATAAGTAAATCAAGTAACAAGTAACTCTTCCAAATATGAATTCTTTTATCGGCACTAAACATTTGTGGTTAGTATTACTACAACGTTCTATTATATCATACAAATTTAAAAGTTGGTAATACTAAAACAAAGCTTATCTAAACTTTTCATCGCGCACAATCGCCATTGTTGTTAGTAAGCTTGCTTAAAGACGCCTCAATGGACGATTTGCTAATAAATTGGAAGTTACAAGATTCAATTTCTGTTTTTAAGGGTAAGTAAATACTTAATTATTTATGTATTATTAAGAATATCTACCTAACATAACTTTGATTTACTTCATTCTAATATTACGCTTTTTGTCTTTGCTTGTAAAGGGGTACTTACTTCATTCTATTTAATAGTTTGATCAGTATCACCTTTAGGTTTATATTCGCTTGCAGGATTGAGTAAAGACCTTACTCAATGCTTGCAGCCTTTGCGTGATGACGAGATAAACATTTTTGCCTTTTACCATAGAAAAACTATTATTTTCTATGCTTTTAGGTAAAAAACCTATTTGGGTATTTCTTACTTACAGCATGTAAGTTACAGGTATTATTATAATAAGATTCAATGTTCAATATTTGTTTTGAAGAGTTTTGACGTTATTTTTTAATATATTAGTAGGTAATATCCACAGAACAAGTGTTCTGTGGTAATATCTATACAATGAGGCTATGAGTTTGAAAACTTATAGCTAACCCTTTTGGGAATGACAAACACTTGTTTAATATTAAGTAAAATTTAACAAATAAGTAAATTATTTATTATATTTTATTAAATGTTTTATTGTTACACCTTCTCATATTTAGTATATATTGTATATATATATATACATGCATCTTGTATGAAGTGGCACCCACTTAATCAACGTAAATGTGACCCCCTCGTATAAAAA